AAAATTCTTGCATTTGATCATTTATTTTATTCATTTTATATATTGGTTACCATTTACTCTTTGTATCCTGGACTTCTAATCAAAATATTCTAATCTGTTGCTTTGAAACTCACAGCTGTAATCCTTTACCTAATTAATTACATTTTTTCTTTATCATAATTGAGTGTGTTTTATTATCATGATAATTTTATCAATTTATAGTTATCCTTTTTGGCGGTTTTAACTATTACATAAACAATCAAATAGCATTGACCAAAATCATTAAATAACTCTTAAGAGCTACTTGTTGTTTTATTTATACTATTCTAATTTGGTTAAGTTTATTATCCATCATGAATTACTGTGCAGTCAGAAATTATTGGGAGGTTTTTTATTAATGCCAAAAAAGTGACTCCCTGAGTATCACAATAATAAGAAATCACATTCTGATATCTGGTATATATATCAGTATGTAGATTTACCTAAAATTGCAATAATTAAACTTGCATTTTTGTTCATTCTTCAAAAATCGCAATAATGAATGCACACAACAATTTTTGAATTAATCAGTAGATTATACTCAGGGCCAAATATGGAACACTAAAAGAAACTAAAGCATAGTATGTAAATAGTAAGAGATTTTGAACAAATAAACTGTAGTGACAGGCAGAAAGTCGGATGGATGGGTGTATGGATAGCAGTGTTGTTCCCATGGCCTCATGGTATTTTAATGCTATATTGCTTGATGTGATACTATCTGACATGATTTTCTTATAGATTGTGTTATGGATGATCCTTCATATGATGCTACAATTTCTAGATAGTATTTCAGACTTCTCTATTTGCTAGGATGCTATATGAAATTTGTTGGTAATATACTGGATAGAAATTCAATGAAAAAAAGAAACTAAATTCTTTTTTAAACTTTACTCTATGCTCTGCTGTTCTTACAAGCAACACTTAGGATTAAGATCTTTCCATTCTTGAACATAGCAGCATGCCCAATTACATGGCAGAGCAAGTTTGATTAAAAAATCATAATTGTTTTTCTCACTTTGAGGTTCATTAGGAATATTCATATGTGAATCCTCATGCATTTAAACATCCTTGGCTATACCAATATTTGGCTTTAATTCCAGATATGTTTATCTAATGCAGCGAATTCAGATCTTTATTACTTTGATGTTAACTAACATATTAAACATAAAACAAGCCTTTTCATCCCACATTAATATGAAATACTTCATAATTGATAACCAATTGTGAACTTGCAATTTTTGTTAGTTCTGGGGTCTCTTGTAATCCATACAATGAATCTTGCTAATATTGTGGATCCATTTATTTTCGTTAATGCCAATTTGAGTGGCTTGAGGAAAACTTTTATTTTGGTTTCGCCAAAGTCAGCAGAAAATGTGTCATTCGTTGACCTTTAAATTCATGGTTTACCTGTACCCACAAATCCACGATAATCCAACGAATGAAAGAACCTTAGTGAGGGTGCTCACATACCCCACGTCCCCACATTGTCATTGGAGAAATAAAATGAAAGAACCTAGCGCGCTCACATACCCCACTACCCCACATTGTCATTGGAGAAATAAAATAAGTGTAAGAAAAAAAAATTAAATCATAATTTCCTGTCAATATGCACATCTACATAGTATGTCCTTATTATCTACACAGTTTTATGAAATTCTGTTGTGTGGTTTGAGAGGAGTTGCGATGACAAAAGGTTGCAGTAGTATATTGGACAAATAAGTTCAAAGGGGCGTAACTCCTGGAAAAAGAATTGAATCATAATTTCCTGTCGATATGCACATCTACGTAGTATGTCCTTATTATCTAAAAAGGTTTCATGAAATTCTGTTGTGTGGTTTGAGAGGAGTTGCGATGACAAAAGGTTGCAGTAGTATATTGGGCAAATAAGTTCAAAGGGGCGTAACTCCTTGAAAAAAAATTGAATTGTAATTTCCTGTCGATATGCACATCTACGTTGTATGTCCTTATTATCTGAAAAGGTTTCATGAAATTCTGTTGTGTGGTTTGAGAGGAGTTGCGATGACAAAAGGTTGCAGTAGTATATTGGACAAATAAGTTAAAAGGGGCGTAACTCCTGGGAAAAAAATTAAATCGTAATTTCCTGTCGATATGCACATCTACGTAGTATGTCCTTATTATCTGAAAAGGTTTCATTAAATTCTGTTGAGTGGTTTGAGAGGAGTTGCGATGACAAAAGGTTGCAGTAGTATATTGGGCAAATAAGTTCAAAGGGGCATAACTCCTGGAAAAAAAATTGAATCGTAATTTCCTGTCGATGTGCACATCTACGTAGTATGTCCTTAATATCTGAAAAGGTTTCATGAAATTCTGTTGTGTGGTTTGAGAGGAGTTGCGATGACAAACTGTTGCAGTAGTACATTAAAGTAAATAAGTTCAAAGGGGCGTAACTCCTAGAAAAAGAATTGAATTGTAATTTCCTGTTGATATATGCACAACTATGTAGTATTTCCTTATTATCTGAAAAGGTTTCATGAAATTCTGTTGTGTGGTTTGAGAGGAGTTGCGATGACAAAAGGTTGCAGTAGTATATTGGGCAAATAAGTTCAAAGGGGCGTAACTCCTGGGAAAAAAATTGAATCTTAATTTCCTGTTGATATGCACATCTACGTAGTATGTCCTTATTATCTGAAAAGGTTTCATGAAATTCTGTTGTGTGGTTTGAGAGGAGTTGCGATGACAAGAAACAGGACTGACGGACTGACGGACGGACAGACAGGTCAAAAACATTATACCCTCCGCAACTCGTTGCGTGGGGTATAATAATAATGAATCCACAGTAGTTGGAAAATTGATGAGCTACTTATACCTGTACTTATCCATTTATAGCATATTGCGAACCATCGTATATTTCTCAAAATAATTATGACATCTTTATACTAAATCTGTAGGAGTTGTAACAATTAACATTTTAGTCTTAAGAAAACATAGTTCATTTATTAGATGACATTGGGCTTTGAACTAGCTTCAGTAAATGTGAGTACTCTCAGATTGGTGCATGGGGTCTTTTTGTTATCAGTTTTTGTGCTGAGTACTGAGCTGATGAAGCAAGACTTTCTAAATGATTTTTTTGTTCTGTGTGTGTTGTTACAGCACAGTTCCTGGCTAAGGAATGCATTGAGTGTTCACAAACATGTTGAACCCAACCACATTCTTTATGTGCCTGTTCCTATTCTGAACCTAAAAGAAATTGATTCTGCCATATTGACATCAGTAATTCTTTATGTGCCTGTTCCTTTTTGTTGATCATTTTGGCTGTTGACAATTTTTGTCTATCTATAATATCCATCAAGATTTTTTTTTTACATTTTTAGTATTTTAACCTTTAACCCCCATCAGATTTTTTCTATCTATAATGGTTTACAAAATATTTGACGACTACTTGCATTTTACCATTATGCTCTATTTGTAGCAATGAAAGTCATGTTGGCTAGTTTGCAAAACACACTCTTTATACAGGAATATCCTATGGGTCACTAGGTCAAGGTTAGCTAAAATTGATCCTATAGTTTACAAAGGGAATATCCTTTAAAAAGTTTATGACGACAGATGACAATGATGGACCGTCTTTATCGCATTAAAAGATAAAAAACATTGTTTTTGTGGCATACACTCTTGGAAACTTTTTCAGTGGTATTTCCTTCAAAATTTGATGTATCACAACAGAACATTGAATAGTAATAATCACATAAAGAGTTAACTCCCCTGAAACTGTATGGACTCCCTTAACAAAGCTTTACTGTAAACTATTCAATAATTCATCTTCACCCATTTACTGTTACATGACTGTAAGTGTTGCTCTCCACATATTGCAGTTTACTAAAAAATCTGACCAAATGGCAATTTTTTTTATCAAACCAAATTGTTCAACTGGTAAGAAATTTAAACGAATTGCTGTAGAAAATCACAGTCAAGTTGTGAAAGTGCAAGGTGATAAAATACAGCATACTTACAATCATATTAGACTTTTATTCCATTTCATTAATATTATGGAAATCATTGTCAGAATTTGCATACATGTTTTTATATAATTGTCATGCGAAAGATGATAGGTAGTAATCTTTGAATTGCTATAAAATTCTCCAAACTAAGCTTTCATACAATTTTTTCTTTAAAAGTTCTTCTATATTCATAAGAAGCCAGACATCAGTTTGATTTAAAACATGTTATATTCAGTAAAATATATGTGAAATTACAATATGTTGTTAATAAGTTTCAATGTGAGATAACCTAAAATCATTGATCTTTTGAAATATTGATCTTATCTCCCTTTAAAACTGCAAGACAACATAATTACCTTAAAGTATATTTCACAAAGTATTTTAGAGATCAACTTAAAGAAAGCTTTGTACCATGCATAGATTAACACCATTTTAGAAGAAATAATAGAAAAACTTAAATTTGGACATTATTTTAGCAATTCAAAAATTACTACCTATCACCTTACGAATGATAATTTCAATAATGATATTTAAGTAATTTTTTTAACACCAATGAAGTGGAATTAAAGTCTAATAGGATTGTAAGTATGCTTTATTTTATCATCTTGCACTTTCACGACTAGACTGGTTTTCTTCAGTAGTTAGTTGAAATTTCTGACCAGTTGAACAGTTTGGTTCGATAAAACAAATTGTAACTTGGTCAGAATTTTAAATAAACTGCAATAGGTGGAAAGCAACACTCACAGTCAAGTCACAGTAAGAATACCATAAAGAATTTGTCAAAAAGTAACCATGAAATAGACTTCTTTTCTAATATCACATTCTTCTGAAGGTCAACCAAACTTTGAAGGAAAAAAAAATCACATGTCAAATACTGATATGCAAACTCGAAAAAAATATCTACCCAAATATAAGATTTTTGTAAAAAAAAATTAGATGAAAAGATGGAGATGGTCAATTGAAAATACTAAGAAAGAGCACAATGCATAAAATCCAAAATGATTACAATAATATTTAATGTACCTGCTTTGTCTTTTGCAAGTGGGACATACTTGTGCATTAACTCTGCTTTTTCTTCCTCAAACATAGATAGTCCAGTGTTAGGCCTAGGAATTAAAAAGAAAATACAAAATTCTGTCATGTTGCAAGCACTTTTTGTTAGTTTTTATGAGATACACTTACAATGATAGCATAGTAACATACAGTGATAGCTATAGCATAGTAATATTTACCAATGAATAAACCAAGAACATACCAGAGTCTACTGGTCACAGAAATTTCTAATGATTCAACAAAATCAATAAATATAAATCATGCAAATCTGAAAGTGATAACAAAAGTTTCCCGTTCTACAATACCTGACTCAAGACTGGAATAAATTGAGAATGTGTCCATGGGACACAGATGATGCCCCCGCTTGCATACAACATAATAAAGGGATAACTAGAGAACCGTAAAGTGACAGCACCCAAACTCAAACTCAATCAGTGTTTTATGGTAAAAAGCATTGTGTACAAGTTTCATAACATTTGGCCGAGGCGAACTAAAGTTAAGAGAGCAGAGACTAATTTGGGACATATGTACGGGCAAATGTACAGACGGACAAAGGTAACACTTGATGCCCCCTCTGCCACAGTGGGGGCATAAAAACAGACAAACAATAACAATCAACACATCACTAACCTTGATATTCTAAAAAGATGAGATGAGGTTTCCTTCCGTGTTGCCAAAATACATAGTTTCCTGCCCCACATGTCCCTCTTGGATATGTAGAAACCATCATGTGGACCTGTGTGATTTTCTAACCTTGTCACCGCCATATCCCAACTCATTCCACGATCTATGTTCAATTCTATCAATCTTTAAATAAAAAATGTAAAGGTATTTCAGCACACACATTTTCTGTTAGCATATGTTGTAAAACTTTCAAATAAAGCTATTGGGATATACCATAATAACAAACATTCATAATTTCAAAACTTATAAAAGAACAGAGTTCCAATGTCCCCCGTGTTGCACATATTTTATATTTCCAAGGGCATAACTCTTTTAAAAAAAGTCAATCGTCCACCATTATAGAACTTGTCCGAGATATTGCTGATATTAACCTATAGTATAAGTTTTATAAAAATCTGGCAAGAATTGTACCCTTGAGAGCGCCAACGAGGCCATTTTCCATAAATTTAATATTTCCAACGGCATAACTCTTTTTAAAAATATCGATTGTCCACCATTATAGAACTTGTCCAAGATATTGCTGATATTAACCTATAGTATAAGTTTTATAAAAATCTGGCAAGAATTGCACCCGTGAGAGCGCTAACAAGGCCATTTTCCATAAATCTAATATTTCCAAGGGGTATAACTTTTTTAAAAAAGTTGATCGTCCACCATTATATAACTTGTCGGAGATATTGCTGATATTAACCTATAGTATAAGTTTTATAAAAATCTGGCAAGAATTGTACCTGTGAGAGCGCTAACAAGACCAGACAGATGGACACACAGATGGACGCCCAGTATTTCAAGGTCCCCCGCATTGCATTACGCGGGGGACAAAAATGGATGTATGTGTACTGATATGACTTGAGAAAGATTTCACTTCAGTATTTCTCTTTTTTCTAGGATGGATTTGGAATTTAGTCTTTTTTATTTTTTAATCAGGTCTGTCAATGGACAACTTCTTTAATTATACTGGAACAATCCCTAAGAATAATTCTTATATGATGTTGTTTTAAGGTTTGATTGATTGATTGATTGATTGTTGGTGCTTAACGCCACTTTCAGCATTATTGGCTATATCTTGCAGTCAGTTTTTATTAGTGGAAATATCTGGAATGCTCGGAGAGAAACTCAGACCTTTGGCAGGAAAACTGACAATCCCAGTCAATTAAGGTTGTAGACTAACACACCTCCCATGTGCAGGGTTAATGATACAGTAGATGAACTACTTAGACCACTTGTCCACGTAGGCCCCCGTTTGTAGCTATGTATTTTATACAGGACACACATAAAACTATTAGCAATTGCTTTCCATCTTTATGTGCAAGTAGTTTCCATTTCTAACTTAACCGTTAGTTGTCTGTATGATGTCCGCTATAACTGTAGCTTTCTGTTATGAATTTATTAATACACTACTATATAATGGTACAATTCACAGGACACTAACATTTAGACAACACATTTCATAAATGTTATAATTACAATACCTAAATATATAATTATTTATCACAAAGAACAGCATTTGTATACATGTAGAGTGTAATATCAGTTCAATTGAAAAATAAATGTTTGCATATGGATTTCTGGCTAAAGTGTTCCTATAAATGAAGATTATAAGTAAAGAAAGTGTTCCAAAAGCACCAAATTTGCTATAACACATCTTGATATATATTAATGTTGGTAACATAAAAATTACCAGTTATTTGAATTGGAACATGGAACAAAAAAAGTTTGTTAAGTTTATGTCTACATCCATTCCCATAAACATGTACATGATATTAAATTTTGATAAGTTCATCACTTTTTTGTAGTATACTAAACATAACACTTTCTCATGTATCTATACACAATTCTATAGATACACACTCACCTGGTTTTTGTATGACTTTTGTTTAGTTCACTGAATATTTCTTTTGGTTCTCCAATCATCTCTACTGATGAAGCTGTGATGTCTAACATACCTTCATTGTACCTAGAAAAATAATATCATTCGGTTTTCTTCAAATTAACAAATATTTAAACTGAAATATGCTGCACCAATTCTCCAGGCTCTCTAAGATAAAAATGTATTAATGTTCTTATGAAACATGTCCAATTCTGTTGTTTATCAGATAAGACTACTTGTAAAAAAAATGCTTAGTTCAAGATGATTTATATATTTTAATGCAAATGTCAATTCCTGTGATAAAATAAACAAAAAAATTGACAGAATTTAGTATGATGAACATATCTATCTGTAAAACTATGTCTAATCTATTCCTATTTATAAGCATCAAAACCAAATATTTCAATTTAACATGATGTCATACCCCCCAAAATGAAAGTATGGTGACCTATAGTTGTTTACATCCAAGTCTTTGAACTCAAGAGGATAGTTGTCTCTTTGGCAATCATACCACATCTTAATTTTTATTTATCAAGAGTTCATTTTTAAACTTATACAACTGTAACTTTATAGAACATTTAAACATTTGGCCTCAATTGGACTTTGCCATGTCTCACTGGACATTTTCTTAGCATTTCTGTTCATTCGGTCCAGTAATGCCAAGACATTTACTGGACAAAACAATATTTTACTTAGAATTACCAAGTGTTCTTTGATTGTTTTTTAATATAAAAATAAGGAGATGCGGTATGATTGCCAATGAGACAACATGGATGTAACCAATAATAAGCAACCGTGCAGCCTTCAACAATGAGAAAAACCCAGTCAGATATAAAAGGCCCCGACATGAAAAATATGAAACCATTCAATTGAGAAAACTAACAGCCTAATTCGAAACAAAACAATTTACAGAAAACAAATATGACAGACATGAACCAACGACAACCACTGAATTGCAGGCTCCTGACTTGGGACAGGCTCATAAAGAATGTGGCGGGGTTAAAAATGTTTGTGAGTGCTCAACTTTTCCTCTAACCTAATAACTGTTTAGGCCACCATTTACTTTAATTTTCCTTAAGAACATCTTACCTTCCCTCTTTTCTTGCATTCTGTATTGTAAGTTTTAAAACCTCTGTGAAATAATTGAACATCTGGGGGAAAAACAGTAAAACATATATAAAACACAGACTTCTCAATAAGCATCTAATAGTACAAACTTCACATTTATAAATGATCATTATTGAATTTAATCTTGAAAAACGAAACATTACAGTGAAAATTCTTGTCAGAAATAGAGCATACAGGAAGCTAAAAACTACAGACAGAGATATGAAGGATGCAGTTTTTCATTAGCTTTCACTTCAATTATCCCTATTCTATTTCAAAATAGAGATATTACCATAATTTGTAAAATTAAAGTTTACAGATTCATAATTCGCTCCTTCTTTATTATTTTCTTTTCTTTCTAATATACAGCAATTAGTAAATTTTTGACTGCATTATTTGTCAGAGCAAAATAAGTAGCCTTGATATCTACATTTGAAACTTTGTAATATATCAAATATATAGCTTACTAGATTTTGTTTTTCCACAGATAATCCCAGTATTCTATTGAGGAACTTTGACACATCTCCAGCATCTGAATCTTTTAAAGCTACACCTAGTTTTATATTTTCTATATCAGCTAAGCCCATCAGTACTAAACTTTCCTGTAAACAAATAACATATCATGTTTACTGCACACTTTTAATAAACAATACTTTAGACTTTATTATCAAACCTCAGACACATCCATGTAGCTGTACAAAAGGACATAATAAATAAACTCATTTGTATGATCAATATATACACAAACCATAATTATGTTCGAATAGTAAATTACAGAAAAATCTAATTTATATATAATCATAATGTTTAACCCAAAAAGACAAAACAAAATCAGACAAATTGTAAATATTGAGTACTGTAAATTCAGAAATTATTGCGAGGTTTTTATTAATGCGAATTACGCGACTGTTTGAGTATAGCAATAATAAAAACTCGCACTCTGATATTTATACATATATCTGTATGTAGATTTTCCAAAATTCGCAATAGTTAAACTCACATTTTTGTTAATTTTTCAAAAATTGCAATAATAAATGCACGCAATAATTTCTGAATTTACAGTAATTATTGTTCAAAGTATTGCTAACTTTTTGTAAAGTTCAACATAACAAACTATTTAATTTGTATTCCCTTGGGTTTGCTGTTCAAAGTATTGCTAACTTTTTGTAAAGTTCAACATAACAAACTATTTAATTTGTATTCCCTTGGGTTTTCAGTGTAATATTGTGGTATATAGTTATTTCTAAGGGTTTTTTTTATTTCCTTTTTTTGACATTTGAAAAGATAATGAAATTCATCTCCTACTCCTATAAGTTACCAAGAGATTAAAAGAATGTGGTGGCCTATACCAGAAGTTGTGGACCAAATATTGGGACCTGTCAGCCGCCAATGCCCCTTGCAATTTCTGATCTTATATCTTATCTAGTCCCTAATACATACAATAACATTTCAACTGTTTGGAAGTAGATATTTCTAAACAATAAGGTTATTTCAACTCACCTGTACTAGAGGTAGAAACTGTTCAAAATTATACTTTTCTGTAATCTCATGTAAATCAATTCCAGGAACTAGCTTTTTCTGTTTAAAAGAAGCGTTCTTATTTTTAATATGTCTATGTATTCGTATCATTAATGACCTATGTAGTAATTCCATGTCTATTTTCATAAACACAAACAAAAATTACCTTAAAATTTTCCCAAAAAATTAATTCAAAAATAAAATTGATCTGTTATTCTCAGCAACCTTTGATAAATTGGTTCAAATTAACTTTCTATCATAACAACTAATGTGAATTCGTTTTAATTCGTGGATAACAATTTTCGTGGATTGAGGAAAAACAGTATTTTAGTGGATATTAGATTTTGTGGTTTTGCCAACGTCTGTATACATGCTTATAGAAAGTTTGTACTTTGTTGAACGTTTGAATTTGTAGTTTATCTTTATGTGAGAAATCCATGAAAAATTGATATCCAATGAATGATAATGAATCCCAGTGGAAGATATGTAAACAGCTGTTAAAAACATAGGCCTTAAAATTTTAACTTTACTCCATCATAGCTAAGACATAAAATACCTTTAAAAATCACTAAGAAATATATATCTTTCAATGCTTATAATGAAAGAACTGAAAACTTACAGAACATATATGCTGATACATTATTCTCAATGAATTTCTACCATATGGTGTGTCATAATTAAATTCTCCCAAATCAGCTCCAGTTGCTGCCCTTCTATCTCCCTTTGTCAAGGCACCTTCAAAAATAAATCATTAACACTTGAGAATCTCATTTAGAAACATCTCGCTCATATGGAATTTACTAACCTCGTACATATATTGTATTAGATAAATAGCACACTGTGTAACTAATAACATTAAACTGATTAAATGCCTTAAACCTGTCATTAGAAAAAAAATTGTAGGTTTCTATGGTTGATCACGGTCAATCAAAAAGAAGAATACCTAACACTGTATACACTCAATAAAAGTCATAAAACTTCTGAAACTTCTTTCAGGTAAACATAAATAACAAACCCATAGACTGTAGTCGTCTGGCAACAGAAGCAGCAAATCTTCTTTCTCCTCCTAAATCGGTGGTCAGCAGTTTATATATTGGACCACTACAAGAGACAATTTATGATTATTTACTATAAATGAAACAAAGATGTGTCTAAGCAGCACTAGACACAAAATATTAATGCTTATTAAATTTTTTGTTGCTGTATATCATATTTATATCATTTATTGTTTTGTACATAAATCAGGCCATTAGTGTTCTTGTTTGCATTGTTTTACATTTGTCATTTGGGGGTCTTTTATAGCTTACTATGCCGTTTTGGATTTGCTCATTGTTGAAGATGATATGGTGACCTATATTTGTTAACTTCTAAATCATTTGGTATCTGGTAGAGTTGTCTCATTGGCATTCATACCACATCTTCTTATTTTTATATTTACCAACCTTGACTGGTTTGACCTATGAGATCGACCCAGTTGCTGGACAGCCTTGTCAGCACTCCAGGGTAACTCTACTGTCAAGTGCACGCGTCGACATTGGTTTGCTACTCTCTTGTCAGCATGAAGAGAAATACCTGAGATAACAAAATCCATTTCTAATATAACAATGCCTCCTCCAAAAAAAACATTTTTTAAATCATCAACCTTTAAATTCTTATTTTAGTAATTAATTTTTATTAAACAGCTGTAAATATATATGCATCTGAAAGTAGTTATTTTTTTTTACTTTTCACATTAAAAGAGAAAATTATAGTTACAACAGACTTTTAAATCATAAAAGAAATATTAAACAGAATCAAATGAATGAGATTATAAAATTAATAACATTAAAAATTATAGATTTTATAAAAATACATTTTTTTCAAATAAATTTTGATTCAGATTGACATTCTGTAAAAAGGCTATAACCAATATACAGTAACATCTATTTTACCATTCAAAGTTTTTGATTTTCTTCTTTGAAGAAATGGCTGTGAATTCATTTATTTTTGTAGGTTCCAATTTTTGTGGGTTGAAGTAAATGTCTTTTTTTTTCTTTTTCTTTTGTGGATATTTGATTTTGTGGTTTTGCAAAAGTCTGCATACAAGCCTATAGGAATTTTTTTTTCGATGAACATTTAAATTTGCTCACCTATAACCCGAATCCACTAAAATTGGTATCCCACGAATAAAAATGTATCCACAGTATATAGGAATATCAAAATCAAAACTTTTGTAGTCATTCATCTGCTACGTTTTAAATGTAAACAATACTAATATATAATTTTGGAAATTAATATAAATTGAAATTGAAAATTTTAAGCAGTTTAATCAACAAGTTTGTTACAGTTTGATACTAAGAATGGACTCACAACACGAGTACTGAAGGGCCTTGACAGTACAGAAATCATTATGGATATCACATGACAGAGTTTAAAACAATTCATACCTGTACTGGCAGCATCTGATATAATGGCCACTAACTTTTTCCCTTCCATAAACTGGTTTCTCTGCAAGAAATTAGGACAGAATTAGTAACTTAAATTTATACCAGTTTACTATCAGATATCAACTTGTAAACATTGAGAGCTAAATGTCAATTTATAACTTTTATAAAGTATGTTTTATTTTTCTGGTTATTCTTATTTCTCAAGTAATTTACAGGTTGAATGGAAATTCTGTACTAGTCCTGCTAAGCTTAGACCAAAGTTACTCTCTTCATTTAAATTTTTTTCATGAGGGAAAGGAGTAAACTTACAAATTTTTTTTGAAAAGAATATTTATGAACTCCTTTACACGAAAAACAAGTAAGGACAATTTGCTGAAAATTAAGTTGATAACTGCCTATTACATTATATTTTCCTTTCTTGAGAAACCAAACCAAACTGAACCAAAGGGTATGGGTTTTGCTCATCACTGAAGGCCCTTTGACCTATAATTGTTTACATCCTTGTTTTTTGTTCTATGGTGGATAGTTGTCTTATATATTCTTGTATGTTTTTTTTAATTTCGGTTCATTTATGTATTTCGGAGTTTAGTGTGACGTCCATTTTCTATGAACTAGTACACATTTTTGTTTAGGGGACAGCTAAAGCATGCCTCAGGGTGTGGGATTTTCTCGCTGTGTTGAAGACCCATTGAGTACCCATTCTGCTCTTTGGCCAGATTGTTGTCTCTTTGACACATTCCCCATTTCCATTCTAATTTTTAATCATACCACATTGCCTTATTGTTATATAAAGTTGTCCTGAACATGCATGAAATATTGCCATTGGATGTTAAGTGACCAACAATCAATCAATTAATCAATCTTATATTGTAAATATATGACCTTCACTGTTGAAAAATAAACTGACAATATACCTCCTGTACATTTAGACTATCAACCCCTCCATAAGCATCAATATCTGCTGATCTTTGTTCATACTTAGGCGTGTCTGTAGGCCTATGTCTTACAATTCTCCCCTTTCTTCCTGTCATCTCAGCAACACAGCTAGGCCCTCCTAATTTATCAATTATTTCATCCAGAGGACTATGCAATGTAAAACAGAAATAATACATTCATTTTCTTACAACAATGTAAGTTAAAGTTTGTTTTAGACACAAAAAAAAACATTTGTTTTCCTCTGCAAAATGTTTAGAGACTCATAGATTTTAAATGTAATTAAATGCACAAATAGATATCTCTTTTCATATTAATCAAAGAAGAGATTTATTACAGTAAAATTGTCTGGCTAACCCATTACACATTGTTTTCTTGATACTTTATCTTACTTTTTGCAGTAATAAGGTGATTTACAGAATATTCTTCATATATTGATATTCAACATTGTTGGCATTTCTTAGGCAATCAAAATTGGACAAATAGTTGTACCTTTTGGATAAGTGAAATTCTATTGACTAGTAAAAAGGAACAAGTTGAGTAAAAAGTTTAAATGTCCAAACCAGTTAGCAGGAGCGCAAGATGATGGATGCAAAAAGAACCAAATTAAATACATCTAAATTTGGCTTTTGCAAAATAAAATTTCATTAATACATTTAATTATAAAACTACATTTTTTGTATTACCTGTCTGGAAGGCTTATTTGCTCAGCAAATCCCAGTAACATTCCTTTAGCTGTTTTGCTCCATTCATCAACCTGTATAGGTTCAACACCTCCAATCTGACATACATACAAACAAACTTGATCAATTATGTCTTTATTTTACTGATAGAGATTAATTCTTTTTCATAATTGCTGTAATAAGCAAAACAATTAGAGCTATTTTCCTAATGCTTGTAGTTTAAAGGTTTGGTTGGCTTGCTTGCTTTGTTTGTATAAATGTTTGATCACGCATTGTAATTAAGATCGAAATCTGCAATCAATAGATAGGCAGGGTTTCAGCTTGTATACATTATACTTAAATGTTATTGGATGTTAAGTATAATGCAGAGTATAATGTATACAAGCTGAAGCCCCGCCTATCTATTGATTGCAGAAGTCAATCTTAATTACAATGCTTGAGCAAACATTTATACAAACAAAGCAAGCAAGCCAACCAAACCTTTTAATTAAACTACAAGCATTAGGAAAATAGCTCTAATTTTTTTTTTCTGTTTCATTAGGATTCTTCCTTCTTATTAACCACCACCTATTCTTTTATTCATAAATAATCACATTACATCAATGTTTCATTAACTGTTCCATTACTCTGGCAGACACCAATCAATTAAAGTTTTAAGGTGATTTTTTCCTTTCCCCCAAAAGCAACACCCCAGACTAAATCTGATCAATGACAATTTTCTTACAATGCATATGAATATCAAAATATAACTAACAAAATATATGATTCAACTCATTTTCAGTAAGGCAGTACCATGCTTCATACAACATATGCTAATTTCAACACTTTTACAGTCCAATAAAATTATAAAACAAGCATTAAATTATCAAGTAACAATATAACATATAATTTTGCTAAGAACAAATTTCATTTTATTCAGACATGATTTCAAAATACAAGCCAAAAGCTTACCTTAGTTTCAATCATGACAGGAAAGTACTGATTTATAAACCTTGTGAGGATTTCTCTACATAACGACATAAATCCAATCAAACTTCCTTTCTTTGTCAGTTCACTGTCTAAACTAGCCTAAAATATAAAACATGCTATTTTTAGCATTTGAATTATCATGACCCCAGTAATAAAACCAACTCCAAACAATTCCTCACTGGGATATCATACCAATTAAACATCAATGATAAATCAACTGCTGCTTTAAGCTTTAGTCTTAATGTCTGACAGAATGACAATGTTACAATATATTTCAAATAGATAATTGATTATGGATGCCATCTTTTGAATGCCCATCCTAAATGTACCCTTTTAATTTAGCTTTTTCTTAATTTCATCAGACAGCAGCCATTAGACACTTTTCCAAAAATCCAGAAAATAAAGACTCAGTACTATTCTTGAATTAGAATTGTGATAATTTTTTACTTTTAATCTTAAAGAAATAAAATAGAAGGTGTAAAAGCAAATCATGCGTGTAAGATTTTGTGAAAGTTCATTAAAATTCTGTTAGGTGACTCTGGAGCAGTTTCCAGAGAAAAAATAGTTTACTAAAAAAATGCAAAAAGGGGAAAATCATCATTTAAAGACAAATAAACTGTTATCACAGAGATATGTCTCACCTTTTTGTAATTTTGATAATGCAAATGTTGAAATTAAAATTGCAATACCTTAACATGTAAGTTATGCAAATATTCAAAGTAGATGAACCATGACTGAAGGTACATGGCTAAACAATCTCCATGGAATGAGATCTGCCAATGCTAATACAACTGCATACCAAATACCATTGACTTATTATTAGTCGTTCCCTTTACACAAACCTAAACACAAACATTAACTTGTAAACTATGTAAAAGTTTCAAAGTCAATGAACCATGATCAGGGGTGGGGCTATATAATCTCCATGCAAACGATATTTGCAAATGCCAATAAATTTGCATACCAAATATCAATGACTTAACATTAGCAGTTCATCTTAAACTGATCTAATCACAAACTAATACATGTAAACTAAGCAAAAGTTTCAAAGTAAATAGACCATGACTGAGGGGGCGGGCCAAATATTCTCCATGGAAATGAGATGTGCTAATGCTTATACAACTGAACACCAATTAACATTGGCCTACCACTAATGGTTCCCCTTGAACTGACCTAATCACAAACTAATACATGTAAACTAAGCAAAATTTTCAAAGTCTACAGACCATGACTAAGGGGGCGGAGCCAAATAATCTCCTTGGAAATGAGATATGCCCATGCTTATACAACTGCATACCAAATATCATTGACCTACCACTAGTGGTTCCCCATAAATTGACCTAATCACAAACTAATACATGTTAACTATGAAAAGTTTCAAAGTCAATAGACCTTGACTGAGGGGGCGGGGCCAAATAATCTCCATGGAATTGAGATGTGCCAATGCTAATACAACTGCATACCAAATATCATTGACCTACCACTAGTGGTTCACCATGAACTAGACCTAATCACAAACTAATACATTGTCGATGCCGTAGCCAACGCCGGAAACAGCATACCTATGTCTCGCTTTTTGACTCCATCAAGGCGAGACAAAAATCTATAAAAGGTCATTTAACAATTTTTGAAAAGTTGTCTTATTTGTAGATCTTATTGTTCTGGTGAATTTTCTCTGTTTGAAATTTCTCTCTATCTGTTCTAGGCCTTAAAGGCCATGTCAGCTTTTGCCATCACCTATAAGTTAAGGGAAACTTCGCAAAAAAATGAAAAATTGATATTATGTTCATTATGCATAAAAAAGCACAAATTCATAAATATTAAAGTTTTATTCTGCTAGATAAGAGATCACCATCGATTTTAAATTGAGAGTATCAATTCTCTGCATGCGGCCATTTTGTCATCTTCCGGGTTTACGAAACCACTTGATATCTATAAACCACAAAGGACCAAAACCAGCAGTAACCTAACGTAGTCGTAATTGAGTGTCGATATCTTGTCAAGCGTACGGTTGTTTTATTCAACAAGGAAAGCATGAACAGTTAACCGGGTCACAAAAATGATTATAATAGACATGGTTGTGCAACCTTTCCTAACTAACTTGATACGGAAAATGTAATTATTTTTTTTAAATAACTATGGTCTGTCGTTTTTGAAACAAGAAATTTAAATGGGAATTAGTTAAAAAGTCAAAGTTCAAATCAAAAATAAGTGTTCCATGTAAGATTGTTTTCGAAAATCTAATTTGTTCATAATTCTTTTAGTTTTATGTAATAAACTTATTTAAATAAATTCGGACCTTCCCTTATCTGATCACCAGCATGGCTAAAGGAATTATTCCCAGAGGTATTGTGAGGTGACACGTCCAGGTATTCAAGCGATTTCCTGTCGGGCTAAAAAATTCTTATTACACAATTACATAATGCAAGTTCATGCATTGCTTCACTTCTGAGGGTATTGATAACAAGTCTATTTTTATAAGTTAACACAGAGACATGTATGCATCTCTAGTTAATGACAATCAACTATATAAATATCTGAATCTGATGTGACTTACCGTTCATCTCTTTCTTTTTTGTTTTTTTTTATTTGGGCAGGAACATATACATTGTTAGATGTTAGATATATTGTTCCCAGGTTTGGGGGTGGTTGGAGGTCAAGTCTATCGAAAGTTACAAAATAAGAACGTTGTATTTATGAATTTACAAGAAGAATTCTGTTCTTGGACGTAGTTTTCTTTTTTCTTAGTTCAGTGATTTAAATTGAGAGTAAAAATCTAGTCAGAACTTAAATCGTTCCGGCAATCCCCCACCTAAGATTCCTCTAAAATCATGAATGGTCATGCTTCACAATCATCAGAATTTTCTTTGCATTGTTACATTCTGTATCGGTAGTAATTAAGGTATAACAGAGCTACTTGTATATTACCTTATGTGGTTAGGTGACGACCCATGAGGTCTTACTACAGGTTCACATTTATAATGGTTTCTGATATAACAAGGTTTTATGACATTCACACTTCGGCATGTTCTGTATACCAAATTCTTATCTTATTTTCAGACCGAATGAGGATGTGAATATTTTCCAGGAAAAATATTGAGTATCAAATTAATTTCGGGATTTTTTTCTTTCTTGGTATTAAATCACAGAATTTAAAGAATATACTGCTTGTCTGCTTTAGGAGTATTCTTGTCATTTTAGACAGACATATATATGTGTATATATGTCTCTGGTTTAGAGTGGGTTTATGAATGAATGATAAGTCTTGCAAAGGTACAAGATATAAAGCACATTGAAAATTTATTCCGCTGGTCTGTCTCCATTCAAAAAAGAAAAGTTGACGTTAAATTGTTCTGTTAATTTTTTTTAAACATCGTTGGTCAAATAGCTAAAGTATTTATACGTTGTGAGATTTAAAATATTTTAATAAGGGCATTCCCGATTAGGTAAATGTAAATGGCTTTGGACGGACCAAACTATATTAATGTAACTGATATAATTTTCTCTGCACATTTAAATATTCAAGGTTACCGATGATAATTTATAATAGTACAGTTTTTGGTTTATATGCTCGTTTTCGTGGGCCATTTTTATTTATAGAATTATATAATTGAAAGTAATTCAGAATTTCGATGTTACAACACAATACTCACCTATTTATTTAAAAACTGAGCTAACGCAAAATATTAAAAAAATATATAACGGCGATTCAGGTATTTTGCCACCATATTCCTCCCCAAATATTTTTTTTCTGTCTCAAAACCCGCACACTTCTCTTTTATCATTTTTTTTTATGTTTTTCACACCTGAAACAGCGAACCCTTGAGGCCAAACAACACTCTAGTGAAGATTGCATAATGCTAATCTTTTAATTATCGTGAATTTAACCACGCCTTTACCAGGTAGTGTCAGTATAATACACATTGTATTTACACAGTACTAGCGGGAAATGTTTGCTAGACTGAAGCAAGGATTTGTATAGTAAGACAAATCCTTGACTGAAGTAAAAGGTGAGAATGCAAACATGCATTTTTATTACACTATCAGTTATAAATGTTTGTTCAACATATCCGTCGGAAAAAAAAATTCATAAAAATATTCTATTGTATGATTTACTTTTATTACAATAATCATATCAGAAATCCCTAAAATATAAATCGTACATTTTGATTTAAAAAGTTGCACGGCTGATCACTTTACTCATAGTTGGTGAATAGATACGCAAAATAGTCGTTGATGCGCTTTAAATTGCGTTATTAGATGATTAACGAACAAGAGTTAACATGAGATTAAATCCACTCCCGGCATGCAATTAGACTTAAACTACGTCACAGAAGTCAGGAAGTTCGAATAAATAAAATTAATAATTCCTAATTTTCTTCTTTATTAGTGTTCATATCCAGATAAAACTTGGTGATTATTTTTTTTATGATATTATGAACATAATAAGATGATAAATAAAAAATCGCGAAATTTCCCTTTAAGCTTTTTAAAATTCTAACTAGTCAGATTTGCTCTAACTGTCCCAATTTTTCTGAAAATTTTACAAGAGAAAAATTTGACCTGCTGATCACCTTTACCCTGTCAGATTGAGTTTTTGAGATAAGAGCCAATAAACTGCTTCGCTGAGCGCAGCTGGATACGCCCACAGAGGTCCAACCCTCTACAGTTTGGGCAAAAATGGACACAATATTCAAGCTTGATACAGGTCTGAATTTGGATTGTAATTAAATATTTGATATATTATAGGTTTCTGAATAAATGTAGTCAAAGAACTTGAAATTGGTTATATGAAAGATTTCTTGCTGTTGTGCAATACACTGTGCTGTTGCGCAATACTTAGTAAATCTGTTGTCAGACTATAAACAAATAAAATCTTATAACTCTGAAATGTAAAATTGAAAATTTATAAAAATCAAAAGGGAGCTTACAAAAATAGATATAAATAATTTACCAAACTCTCATAAAAAATGCTGAAAGCATTTTTGAGTTATTGTCCGAAATGGAAAATTCCCCTTTTTGTAATGAATAAAACCCCATAAATATATATTCTGAAATTTATAAAAATCAGAAGGGAGCTCATGTCGATAGAAATAAACAATTCACCAAAGTTTCTTGCAAATTGGTGAAATTGTTTTTGAGTTATTGTCTGAAAACTGGAAAATCCCCCCTTTATTAATGAATAAAACCCAAAAACTCGGAAATGGTAAATCTGAAATTTATAAAAAACGAAAGGGAGCTCACCTCAATAGATATAAACAATTCACCAAAGTTTCATGCGTATTGGTTAAAGCATTTTTGAATCAATATCCGACATGTTGATGACGTACAGACAGACGGACGGACGGACAGACGGACCGACAGACGGTCAGCGGTATACCATAATACGTCCCATAAAAAGACGTATAAAAACTGCATTTTAACCCCTATGTTATAATTTTAGAGTAAGATAAATTTTGGTAACATTTTGGCCCAGAAGTTTCAGAGAAGAAGATTTTTTTTAAAACATTTACGACGACAGAATCCAAGCCTTTACTACAAAGTGAGCTAAAAAGTGTTGGATCTATTAGAGCGTGCATAAATACCTCTCCAGTAGTCTGTAGTCCAATGACAACACAGGAACCTGCATCTAATGATTCCTTTGCCTCTTTAACAATGGCTGGTACCTTCATTCCCATGCTGAAATATTAAATCAAACAGCTGTTTAACAATGGCTGGTACCTTCATTCCCATGCTGAAATATTAAATCAAACAACTGTTTAACAATGGCTGGTACCTTCATTCCCATGCTGAAATATTAAATCAAACAGCTGTTTAACAATGGCTGGTACCTACATTCCCATGCTGAAATATTAAATCAAACAGCTGTTTAACAATGGCTGGTACCTTCATTCCCATGCTGAAATATTAAATCAAACAACTGTTTAACAATGGCTGGTACCTTCATTCCCATGCTGAAATATTAAATCAAACAATTGTTTAACAATGGCTGGTACCTTCATTCCCATGCTGAAATATTAAATCAAACAGCTGTTTTACAATGGCTGGTACCTTCATTCCCATGCTGAAATATTAAATCAAACAACTGTTTAACAATGGCTGGTACCTTCATTCCCATGCTGAAATATTAAATCAAACAATTGTTTAACAATGGCTGGTACCTTCATTCACATGCTGAAATATTAAATCAAACAACTGTTTAACAATGGCTGGTACCTTCATTCCCATGCTGAAATATTAAATCAAACAGCTGTTTAACAATGGCTGGTACCTTCATTCCCATGCTGAAATATTAAATCAATCAACTGTTTAACAATGGCAGGTACCTTCATTCCCATGCTGTATTATTTAATTAAAGCAGTCAGATTTACAACTCTGACATTTCATGTCTATTTTTTTTAACACTTTTCAACAAGAATATGTATTCATAAAACACCATGCCCAGCTTGCACTATCACGTTTCTATGTTCATTGAACTGTGAAATCTGGCTAAATTCCCTAATATTGCATGTATATTAAACATTTCATTTATTTTTAACATATGTACTAAGTTTCAATTTCAAACTTGGCATATTTTGCCCGAAACAGGAGAGACAGACACAGTATATACACAAGAGCTGAAAATCATATGGTTTCTTAGAAAATATGTCCTAATGTGAGTAGATAATACAAAACTTAAATATTAGTACTGCAGAGAAATAGTTAAAACTACACACTAGAAAGATATAAATGTAATTGTAAAGCCAAATTCAGTTTTAATACATATTATTTTTGTAACCAATCTATCCCAATGCAAATTTTTATGTTGAATCTGACCTTGCTTCAAAGATTAAAGTCATTTAAAATTAGCACAGATGTCTAAAAATATCCATTTTCTAATAATTGAATGCCCATACTTCACATTATACTTATTGAAAAATAATCGCAAATAAATAAGGGATATATCAAAATATGACGATTAGTTGTTTACATTCAAACTGTTCTTTTGTTTTACTCTTTTGAACAAAACAATCTGATGAATCTGAGTGGTTCTTTAATGCAAACCATAAAAGGATTGATGTGAGAGTCTTTGAAAGTAGAAATAAGGCTTAGTCAATATTATAGGTCATAAGATGGCTTGAAAGCCATCTTTTCCCAAAAAAAGTCAATGTGAAAACATTTTGACAAAAAAACATTGTAGAAATAATGTTGATTTTTTTTTTTCAAAATTAAAAGGGGCACTAGCTACGAGATATTAAAAAATCTAATATATGATTTTTTTTGTTCAATCATTAATGAAAGTGAAATAGTGAAATAATTATTCGCTTTTAGCCGCCAGTATGGTTCAATTTTGTCAAAATAAGCTAAGAAACATTGATGATGAATTATTCACTTGCAAGTGAATAATTCGACCTCATTGAATCCGTATTCATGTGAACTTCAATTTAACCCCTTAGCTAGAGATGGATAACTCATGAACTGTATGTGTAAAGTTATTTAAAGGAAAAGAATGTCAACATTGAAAGTGAAACAAATGTAAATCATTTGATTGACTGATACGATCCACAAAAAATCATTCTTATACAGGTAAAAACGATGATAAACATACATTTTTAATCTATAATATGAAATTAAACAGACCTACAAAAATCCAATAGCACTGGTTCGCTTAATCTATTTATATCTTTATTTATGTTTACATCGCTTATATGGTCATCGGATGACTTTGGAGGTCAACTTGTTAGTTAATTAGATGGCGTCTACACTAAAATACACACGAAACGAAGCTACATGTTATCATGCCCATGTCCTGTTAACTGTTTATTTTAGACTTTTAATAGTTTGGATAAATGTTTTACATTGTAATAAATCAAATATGAGAATTTGAGTCAAATCGGTGAACATGAATTTGAAAGCCCCTATAAGACATTTTGAAAAACTGAACAGTAATAAAATAAATTTTCATGAGTAATAAACTTCATGGTCTGAGTAAATAGTTAACAGTGCACAAATTTCATAAGAACTTAAAAATGTATCAAATTAGATTCAGCTACTATACAAAGAGTGTACAGGTGGACTCACTGAAAGAATAATTGGGTGCACGTGCAATGTGGTAGTTATTACTTCATAACTTCTAATGGATCCAATCAAAATTTCTTAAATTTCTAGAGAATGTGTTCATGGGACACAGATGATGCCACCGTTTGCAGTTAAAGTTATAAAGTGACATAACTAGAGAACTGTAAAAGTGACCCTACCCATTTTGGGACTTGATCTGTGTTTTATAGTAATAAACATTGTGTATAAGTTTCATAACAATTGGTTGAGACAAACTAAAGTTAGAGAATGGAAACCAATTTTTGGATGTACGTATGTGGGCATAAAAATCCCATAGTGTTCTTCAGACAACTATATGGATTTCTGTTTACACAAAACAAAGTTTGCTTACCAAAGTTGTTTAAAGAATCTCTGATGAGCTGACCAATACTGTACCCATAATCTATTGTTACTACTATTACATCTTCTACTGGCACTCTCCAATGCCTTTCTCAATTCATTCCTGTAAAGATAAAAGTTCATCTTATTTTGTGTACTAGTTTGTACTGTGACAATAGAATAGGTGTAGCTTGATTGATTCCATATTTAAAATAGATTCTACCACTGCATTGAGAGAGATGCAACATTTCTACACTCCCAATTTACAAACGATTTTTACAATTTCAAAAAGCATTTATAACTTTTGAAAACAAGATGTACTGTGAGCTGTCACTCATTTATATTATACCCAAAAATATATCAAGAAGTATGACTGGTAGTTGCAGAGCAAAATATGACAAACATTTCATATATGTGCATGATATTTTAAAGATATTGGTTTTTAAAACAATAAGTAGAACATCAAAGGAACTGAAAATGTGCCACATAGTATGGCATCACCATATGAGGCTTAGTGCCATACATCAACAATCCATGACTTGTAGATGCTGAGACAAAAATGTGATGATAATTTCATGTATGTCCATGATATTTTCAAGATAAAAGATTTTTGCAAGCGGTCAGTAGAACACCGTAAAAACTGAAAATACATGTATGTAACACCATATAGCATAACCAGATGATGACTGTTGCCATATATCAAAACCCTATGCCTTGCATTTGCTGAGAAAAATGTGACAGAAATGTGTTAAGGACAGATGGTCACAGAGGTAAAGGAGCAGGGGTATAATAATTAAGTAACAGTGTGTATAATTATAATATCAAATGAGAACCTATGACAGAAAAATGCTTCTCTAGTGAATTTTGGACAGTGAATATGCAAACTTTTAACATTTAAGTCTGGAGAGATGGTGAAAGTCTTTTTTTATATTAATTTTTGCAATACAAAGAAAAAATGTTCCCTCAATCTTAAACATTTGTTATCTACCCTCTTAGTCCGAGATTCCTGAAGTCACATGAAAATTATTTTTTCCTTTTAAGTATCTGTTTTTAAGCATCATGTATTCATAGTTTATCTTACCACACTTTAGCAGCTACATCATACATCTTCTTCTGTTCAGTGGTCAGTGGTGCTTCTACTGTCATAAACTAGAAAAAATAATTAAAACAATTTAATTCCTTTAGTTACACAAACTACATATAGATAATATATAGTTAAAATATGATTATTTCTAAAGACAAAGCTTCAGTCAATAACTCTAATTCATCAATTATGTTCAATCTAATTGTTTGTTTGATAACTGAGTCTTCTACTTATTAAATTATACCAAGCAATAATTTAAGTTCTGAAAAATCAATGTAACATGTGTAGACTTGTCCCTAGAGAGCATTGAAATAATAAAGAGCTACGCCATGAGCGCATGATACACCCTTTTAGCTCCTGTTCCCTTTAATGAATTTATATGATCAACTAGATCAACTAGAAATACTGTGAGCACTGCTCAATAGTCCCCCCTCCAACCCCCCTCCCCCCCCCCCAAAAAAAACTAAAGTTTTCAACAAATAAAGTTCCACAACTCTGCAATGTCATATCAAAAATTTATAAATAAAATGCTTTGCTGAGCGCAGCCTGATACGACCGCAGAGGTCGAACCCTGAACAGTTTGGGCAAATTTGGACACAATATTCAAGCTTGATACTGTCTGAATTTGGATTGTGATCAAATTTTTGACATAATATAGGTTTCTGACACAAAATAAATGTGGTCAAAGATCTTACAAATATATTGCGCAATACTGTCGATTGAAGATTTCTTCTTGAAACTTTTCAAAAATTCGAAATTTGAAAAATTTTGAAAAAAAATATGAATCCCTTAAAAAAAATTGGAAAACAAATTTTTTGAAACCCCCCTTGGAGCAATAACCCCAAAACTCAATCCCAGACTTTCCTTTCGTAGTATGGAACATTGTAGTACAATTTCAGAGAGATCCATACACTTAAACACAAGTTATTGTCTGGAAACTAGAAAAATGCTTGTTTTTGGCCCTTTTTTGGCCCCTAATTCCTACATGTTTGGGGCAATTAACCCCAAACTCAATCACAGCCTTCCCTTTGTTATATGGAACCTTGTGGTACAATGTCAGAGAGATCCATACACTTACACACAAGTTATTGTCTGGAAACTAGAAAAATGCTTGTTTTTGGCCCCTTTTTGGCCTATAATTCCTAAACTGTTGGCCCCATAACCCCTAAAATGAATCCCAACCTTCTACTTGTGGTATTAATCATTGTGGTACAATTTCAGAGCAATCGAAATACTTACACACAAGTTATTATCCTGAAACTAGAGAAATGCTTGTTTTGGGCCCCTTTTGGGCCCCTTATTCCTAAACGGTTGGGACCATCATCCCTAAAATCAATCCCAACCTTCCTTTTGTGGTATTAAACCTTCTTAAAAAATTTCATAGAGATCCATTCACTTAAACTAAAGTTATTGTCCGGAAACCAATGCTCAAAGCGTTTTTGAGTTATTGTCTCAAAACTGGAAAATCCCCCCTTTTTATGAATAAATTCCCAATACTCATAAAATCATAAAATCAGAAATTTTAAAAACTGAAAGAGAACTTATGTCAATATATATAAACAATTCACCAAAGTTTCATGAAAATAGTAAACTATCTTAAACCAAAACTTTAATCTGATATGAGATGAACAAAGAAAGGGACAAATGGATGGACATTATAATTGGACTATCATAAGCAAGGCATAACAAATTATTATGATATCATTACTTTTTACATTTTAAAATTCAGAAGAAAGGGTTTCAAACAATATGTCAATATTAAGCTTTGCCTTGATATCTGTGACATCATCAAAGAAACATCATAAGGAAGATTTGTAAAATTTTAAACAAAATAGGTTATTTTCAAGATTATTTTGGATAAATTATACATAGAGCAAAAACCTCTCCCAAAACTAAGTTTTTGTCAATGAATAGATAAACACAAATTACATTTACTTTTTGGATTATGATTTTGCTTATATAAAAAGTGTATGCCAGTCAAATTGCCTAAAATTTGCTTAATTTTGCCATTTTAATGAATTTACTGTCATTTTATGACTGTACAATCCATAAGCAAAGTCAACAATTTCAAGGCAAGATTAATGAAACTTAGATGCATAGACATCAAAATCTGTTTAGACAGGAAGGACATGTAGTTTTAGAATTATAATTTTTCTAGTTGTTTGAAATGGGATGTACCTCAGCCTGCTTATAACTAAGTCCTCTGGAGATATACATTCCTGACATCTTCATCTCCATTGCCAGCATCTCTGCCATACCTAGACCTTTCTTGTGTACAGTATCCAGGAACCCTTCAAATGTTTTAAATGGTGCTCCCTCTCCCCACAATCCAAGTCTCTCCATAAATGCCTGAAACACATTTATTTTAATTAACATAACAGACATAGCAGGAACTTTAGCATAACTAACTTTCCTTAAGATTCTACTCAGCTGACATAAATGATTTTTCTGTTGGGTTTAACAACTGCAATTTATGAATTATTTCATTTTCTTGGATGTTTATTATGAGCAATAAAAAAAATTATTTAGCTTTTCAAACCAAACTTAAAGACTTAAAGAAGCTTTTTTCCCCCTCATCACACATATTTAGATATATGGTTTAATAATATAAGACATTGATTTATAAGTGCTTTAAAATGTTCAATAAACATTTCTTTGACCAAGATTTCATTAGTAATGTAGAAACAAAGACATTCTGGATTTTGCCACAATTCTAAAAATAATATACAATTGATGCATTAGACATTAGGGACACAGAGCATACATAACCTTTGAACCTAAACAAAGTTTTGTTTTGCCTTACCTAAGTTGTATTGTTACAATTGTAAATATTTACAGGTGACATTCTTAAATGGTGCAGGTTCTGTTGTATTTGATTCTCTCTATGTTTTTAAGTCAGTAATGAATAAATATTACATACAATACATTCTTTGCACTTTATATGTTTTAGAAAATGAAAGGAAAAAAGCTCAAGCACATTCCATACTAGGCTGAAGCCTGTACAAGTAAATGTGCATAAATTCTATAGTTAATATACTGAGTATACTACCATGTTTTTAACATCTGTGACACCAGTAGCACTACAGTATACAACTCTCGCTTTTGGAAGTAACCTATAAAAAGAAAAGATACTATTACAAATATAGACCAAAGTAAGCATTGTGCTCAATCATACCAAAAGGTTCAGTTTTCACTACTGACATATTACAATACTATAATTTGATTCCAAGAAATCACATGTGAATGTGAAAACCATAAAACATAAAGACTCATTGATGATGTGGTTTGAGTTTAAAGAGTTTGGATGAATTCAGTGGTTTGGATAAACATTGCATATATATTACTATAAAAGGGAACCTTCAATCTGAGTAGTTAGCTATTTATATCTTATTAAAGGTGGCTTACATGTATATCCAGAAACTAAATATAGGATGCACAACAACACTTCATGAAAAAAATATTAATATAAGTATGAATGCAATCCAATCAGAAGTTAATTAAAGGATGAGAATAAAAGAGATCTTTAACAAGAAAAAGACAGAAACTTACTGAATACCAATTTTTAAATGCTATACCAAATAAGGGAGATTTTGCATGTAATCATGTCTTCCAAAAATATAATCCAATAAAGAAGAAGAATGTGTCTGAGGATACGAATACCCCTGCTCAAGTTTCATACAAACGAAAATGGGACGGATGGACAGACAGAAATATGGAAGGTCAAGGGTAACACTTAATGCCCCCATCGCCTACAGCAGGGGGCAAAGAATAGAAAAATGCTCATATGCAAGACAGTTCTATTGCTTTTAGTATGTGTTTTATTTTTTAAGGATTTTGCATGCACAATGGCCATTATGTATAAGAATACATAGTATGCAGCATACAGCTTAAAAAACATATGATGAAATATTACAATCTAGAGTAAGTCAATACCTACCTCTGTATAGTAGCTACAGATAAAGCCACTTTAGTACTGTTCTGTTCTTTTCCCTGTCATAAAACAACATTTTAATTGATATAACAAATCATTTCAGATATGTTAACTTGTGACTCATGGAAAGACAATTTGAAATACCAGAATCTATTCTAGAAATGAATATGTAAAAAGCATTTAAAACTATTTTGGGTATCACTGCTGGTGAATGTATCCTACCGGGGGTTTCACCAGTCCAGTAATCAGCAAATACATTGACATGAAATATCCTTGATATGGTCATATCTATAAATATTATAAATTAACTATTTACAAAACTTCGAATTATTCCAAAACCTAAGGAGTTTCTACCCCTGGAATGGATTACATAGGCTGCAATTGTCAAAACCTTTCAGAATTTTAGGTCCTCAATGCTCTTCAACTTCATACCTTATTTGACATTTTAACTTTTTTTATTTAAGTGTGACTGATGAATCTTGTGTAGATGAAACATGTGTCTGACGTACAAAATTATAAGTATGGTATCTTGGATGTGTATTTTTGAAAAGAAAAAAGACATATTTAGACAGTCCTTATAAAAACTTAGTTAAAGGGAAAGTCCGCGATTTTTTACTTATCATCTAAATATGTTCATCTTGGCATAAAAAACACATTCACAAAGTTTTAAATTTATATTCTTTCTAATAACGGAGAAAATCAAGTATTTGTAACTTTTTTGGTTGACCTACGTCACTGGGTTGTGACGTTTTAACCCGATTTGTTGAATCATGGGAAAAAATCAAATCTGTTAAAGCCTTAATTGCTTATCAAAATTTTACGTAATTAAAAGCGCACAGATGACCGTTGGTCGCAGTTAATAACCACAATATAAGAATGAAAGAAAATGAATATGTGTGTACCGTTTTGTATTGATTGAATAAAACTTCCTATATGAAGTTATCTAAATATAAATATTTTCGAATTAATTTCATAAATTATTGAGATTTTTTCATAAAATATTTATAGAACATTTTTACTGATATTGAACTGAAAATATTTTAAGTTTTTATTTACCGTTATAGCTTTGATAACCATTTCAATGCAAAATATTTGTGAACAGAGTGTGTATATTATTTTGTAAAGTCATTGTTTATTTCTCGATTTGAGGAGAATTCGTTTGAACTTTACCTTGCAGCAATTTAGCCTCAGGCGTACAGGTGTGAATTCAAGCGTACACAGGTGTGAAAATTGTCATTTTGAATGGATTAACAGAAAGAGTATAGCGTGTTTAATACACCAAGATGAAATACCCGATGACAATAGAGACACAATAATTAAATTGTATAAATTAATTGAAAATTAACATTCAACTTTTTAATTCCGGAAGTGTTACAATATTAAAATGGAACAATTTTCGGTTACGTTCCATGCAGTTAGCATAAAGTTAAGATATGAAGTTAAAAGAATAGTACTTTTAATCTTAAAAATTAAATGTTACATTTCCCAATTAATAATCATTGCACATCTGTTTAATTTACTTACCGGAATTCTTTAACTTGTATTTAAATCTGCCGATGTTTAAATGCTAACAATCGTAAAACTATCGCAATTTTAAAGTTTTTAATTGAAAAAATACAACAGTACAACATGCATGATTTTTTTAATTATCTTATTAACATTTCATTCTTACATAATTAAATTCATTTGACAATCACTTAGACAAATTATTTGTGAAAAGAATATCAATTATCGTTTATTTCATTAATGAATATACATACATTATAAATCTAAGCTAATACATTAATTTCTTTGAGGATTTTTTTTAGGATAGCCGTCATTAATCCAAATTAGTAATACAGTTGTTTGTAATTAAAGGCATATCTTAGTAATGTATTACTGATATTGACGAACAGTTCGTCCCAACCTTGTTGTTCTTGAAACAATCTTTACTAGTATACTTGTAAGTTTCCTGACGTATAAGCGCCATTGAGGATGAGCTCCAGAGATAGCAGACTAGTACCATATTTGTTTGTTGGGACAGGAGAGGCCATGCAACCACTTGTACAGATAAACAAGCTTATTTTGTCAACACTATCAGAAAGAGATCCCATCGTCGGATGGGGTATATGAAGGTTCCAAGAATGAACTATTGACATGTCTGACTCTGAACAGTTAGTAAACGGACTTAACAATGATCTATAGACATCGACCGCTTGTTCTTGATATTTGAAACTGCATGCATATATACGTTTATGAGAGTGATTATTTATCTTGTGTCTGACGAAAACTAAATGCCTGCATGATTATATCTTGCCATACGTTTGTATTGGTTTGGTGGGTGTTCACTCAAAATCGTAATTCAAAAATTGTGTTTGTGAGATGTAGATTCACTTCAATACCGAATTTCGTCTATATATTTCACAAGTGTATACCACGGATAAGATCTGAAGGTATATCACTCCCATTTTGTTTGGGTGTGAACCATCGATGTTTACAGCAAAATTTAATGAATAAGATGATGATAATAGAAAGAACTATGAGCGTCATGTGGCAAATATTACATGCATGTCGGACCATGAGTTGTCAATCTGTATGAAAAGATTTCCAATACAACCATATTGAGTATGAATTTTCACATGCTATACTCTCGTACTAGTATTAAAGGGTTCTTGTGTCGTTTAACTCAGACACACATCTTTTACTTTAAGATGTATGAAAGGTTCTAAATATATATATGTAGGACTCTAAAGTGCGATGGTCATGCTAAAGTGCGATGGTCTGCGCTAAAGTGCGATGCCTCCATACGCTAAAGTCCGATGGTCCGCGAAAGTATAGACGCAAGAAACGTAGTTGGATTATGACGTTAACAGTCGTTTATACAAACCAAAAATGAATATGCCGGAAGATAAATTAAGAATATTTGATTAACAACTTTTAAATCATATGTCCATGACTTAATTTCAGACCTAACCGTGCTTTGTCGGCTGAAGCAAATGTGTTTTTTGGGGTGCTGGAAGAAGCCGGGACTTGTGTCCTGCAGTCGACCATTTTACTATATAGACACAAAATAGTATACGCATAGGTATCCTGTATCCTGCTTCTATTGCAGTTTACTTTGCTGTCCCCGTTAAAATATTGTCAGTCGATTTTATTGAAAAGTAACGTCGGTAAAATAAAGGTACAGGTTTTTTAAGCGTAAATTATAAATTGTCGGCTAAAACATAGCTTGTTCAGTGTAGGAAAATATGACATGTATTTGTGAAAAAAAGGAGAAAGCTCGGCGAATATCGCATTTTTCTCGCATTTAAGCTTGAAGTCTTGTATCAATAAATGCTAACTTACTTATTCCGACAATGAACGCATTTTGTATTTGTAATTTACAATGACTTACAATGTAGATCTACCTAATAAAAGATTCATAAAAGCATCATTCAGCGACAAGCTACACCAATTATCCAAATATTTTATGCGAAAGAAATTGTTAAAAAAATCATTTAACAAGAAATACAGTATTTTGTGACACATAAATTACTTTTTTAGCAATGATTACGTGGTCGGTCTTCTAAATTTAGAAACAATCACTTTAAAGCCTACCGGTCAATCATAAAGCCTAGTACATATGTTATACCTTAGCATACTAGCTTTTGCAAAAAGACTTGTTTTTAACATCCATGCACTTTACTGAATGTTTTAAGCCCTCGAACCTTACCCTATTGTTCCATCGCACTTTAGCGTGAAATACCATCGAACTTTAGCAAACAAACAACCATCGCACTTTAGCGTAAGACACCATCGTACTTTAGCGTAGACCATCGCACTTTAGCGTGACCATCGCACTTTAGAGTACCATCGCACTTTAGAGTCCTACATATATATATATATATATATATCTTAAATGTAACAATAATCAAACGCCTATAGGCAATCACTAAAATGATATGAAGTTTTTATACAGATTTATTCTTATTTACACAATCATTAACTAACTAAATAAATTTAACAAAGTAACACCGTTACACTACGATATAACAAATGGGATACTAATTATTTTTAACCATGCTATGCAGAAACTTAACTCATCATGCAGGAACATATATATTAATATACTGTTCCCAGCATCAAGTTAGTGCACGTGAATACCAATTAGGAACACGATGTGTGATTTTGTATAACTAAAAATATCAAAGCGAGCAATAACTTTGTCAAGCAAACATTTTTTTTTCACTATGCCTCTCTTTATCTCCGCTCCTTTACAATAACTATTTCGCTTTTCGTCGATCATTCTCTATATTGTTCTCTATTCGGTTATTTTATATATATCTTACTTTATATATCTGCATGTTTGCCAATCGACAAAAGCTTGTATTTGCGTAAAGAATTTTTTTTTCTTCAAAAATATGGTCCAGAATCATGACAAAACAATATTCATTTCACAAAAATGTTCAAAGGTCATGTTTATAATTTTTTTAAACTTATTATCAGCAAAAATAGTGGATATCATTATCAGAACATCATTCATTAAAAGGTGGAATTATAATTTCAAACACACACAAGATAAACAACGTTAGACACAAATATATGGTTCAATAAATGTTACCTGTGCACACCGGGTACCTCAATAAAGAGGCCATGCATGAACCTGTATTATATAATTGTGTAATACGAATTTTTAGTTGACAGGATGTCACTGGAATACCCAGGGACGTGTATGTAATATACGTCCTTGGAATACCTAACCGAATGTGTCGCTCTGACACGACATCTATCAATAATTCTGACATACCTTTTATCAATTCGGGAGGAAGCCAAAATATATATATAATAAGATAACGTAAATAAAATTTAAAAAGAAAAAAAACCTATACATTTTTCACCGAACATACCAGATAGAGTCACACATTTTACTGTAAAGCTAAGTGTCTTTATAAGTGACCATTCGGAATTGATCCCGTATCAATTTGATATAATTTAAAAAGATTAGTTAAAAAAACGAACTTTTAAAAAAAAATTGAGATGTCCGATATTTCGATATTTACATATCTATAACCTGGGAATATTATACTATATCAACATATTATGTCCCAGCTAAAACCTCTTCCTAAATTGCTCCTTGTCAATAGCCGTTAAATATCATAATTAAAAAAATGTTATTTTATATCGTATAACTTTATTAATTGAAAAATTATCTTGTCTAAATACGAAACTATTCTTTTAATTATACAAGTCAATGCACTTTATATAAAAGAGGCATACTAATGAATCTTCTGTAAATCAGTGATTGTTACAAGAACACTGCATTTGTCTTTATTATAATTGAAACTGTTCTTCCACATAAAATCTATATTTTTTTTATTCAACGAGATCTTATCATATAAGGATTTGATAACTTTAGCTATCAGAACTGCTAGGTTATTTTGTTATTAAAAAAAGGATAATTACCATCGAATCTCCCTCGAAACAATATTGTTCAAAATGGTCTCCACACACCAACTTGTGCTTGCTATAGATGCAACTATTTGCTGTTAGTTTAAGGTTGTACAACCATGTCTGATACAATTTTTTCTTTTTTTGTCGGATTGGGAAAAAACTATGTAGACTTTTGTCATAACCTTGTCTGACAGAACAACCGTACGCTTGACAGGACATTTTGACACTGAATAACCGTCTATGGTAATCCCCAATTGATGATGGGAGTTTTTAACGCACGGTCGGTAAATCCCCGATTCTTTTTGTTCTTTGTGGTTTATAGATATCACTTGACTTTTTAGATCGAACATGCCGACAAGATGGCGATATGTCGAGAACTGATAGTGAATTTCAAAAATCGATTTTGATGTCTTTACATAGAGAATAAAAGTTTTTTATTTATGAACATGTGGTTTTTTATGCTTAAAGAACAAAATATCAATTTTTCATTTTTTTGCGGAGTTTCCCTTTAAGATGGTTTATAAAGCCTAATATGAATTTTAAGTCATCTAACATGTACAATATTTGACTCACAGGAACAAAGTTCTTTGCTTTGTGACATTCATCAAAAATAAGACAGCCATCAAATTTATCCCCGCCACACCAGTTCACAAGCTGCTGTATTCTACTATGTTTAGATGTACTGAAAACTCCTAAAACATGATATTGAATGCATGAATATTGAACATGTCTAAAAACATATGGGTACTGGTAATATACATGGTACTGAAATTCCTTAAAGACAAGTTAGTACAATTCATTTTACCTGAAGAACAAAACAACTTTTATTGATAAGACATTATACTTTTCATGTCAGTTTTAACTGTATGTTGACTTGAGACTATTGAGAATGAGATACCGTAGAAAGGCTTGTATAGTCCGCGGTTTTATTCTCCAAAATTGGACCTTCCAGACGGGGTGCGGACTATAGAGTACAATAAGCAAGAAATAAGAGAAAAATTTCAATTTCGCGGGCGAGGTGGTTTGTTTACGTTCCGCCATCTTTGTTATTTATATTGTAGAGGGCGCTCTTATCATTTTTCAAACTAATAATTTTAACTCATCCATATTAATAAGTTATTTCTATTCAATATCAAATTAATACTGATAAATATAAAAACTAAACCTTTCATTACAAATTTCTCGTTTCTTTTCAATGCATTGGTTGAAATAAACTGGTATCTGCTTGATTGAAACGATACAAACATAGTGAAAATTACAACCGTAAACTAGCTTAGAATTTGTAAACTACAAAACGTAATCGGTCATTGTTCGTTCCGTTTTGGTGTTTCATACTGACTAATATGGTTTGTATTAGCTTAAGACCCTTCAAACATTAATGTGATAGATATATTAAAGACTGTTTTACAAAAGGATGGAACTGTTTTACTTTCAAAGTCGTATTATAGTGATATCTGTTATGTACGGATTTCGACTCTCACCGGTTAATTTCTTCTTTTACACGTGCTTTTTAAACTTCCTGTTTAAACATACACAAGTTTCTAAATTGTTTTTTAAGTGAATTAAACTTATTTTAACAATCATGAAGCGTTCTAGAATCATTTACAAGCAGTTTCAGCTTCTGTTTGATGATGGAAAACAGGGTTTTCCAAGAAAATACCGCAAACGACCGCACAGGATTTGAAATTACCGGAGTTTCATTAGACCTTTTCTAACAGTTACAAAAAGTTTTTTTACCTAAAATTTCGTGGGGAGAAGGGGGTGCGGACTATGTACCACTGCGAACTATACAAGCCTTTCTACGGTAGTTTATACCCTAAAATGATGAGATGAATTATGGTTAACTTTTAGACGTTACAATAGCATGGGTATTATATGTTTGCCTGTGTGTTTGCCTCACATGTAGGAAATTGCTTCAAGGGTTAATTCAGAGTTTGTATACGGTAAACCAATTAATTTTTTAGAGCAAATATTTAGAGAGTAAAAAAATAACACAAATATAAAAGTAGCAAATATGTAATTTTGGATCTTCCCTTTTATATATATAAACATAAAGAAAATTAGAAATTTGTGTAAATAAAATGCTGTTAAGTTGGCTAACAATTGGTAAAGGTGAAACAAAGAATCCAGGAAAAAGTTGGTTTATCGTGCTTCCGATTGTACCACTATGCATACAGCATATTGGTGTAAGTATTTAAGTCGAAAACAACACAAAAGTTTGTATGTGAGAGGATTTGTCTTTCTGCATTTTATTTCAGTAAGCTAGCCATTTTAAGATCACAAATCAATAAAAAAGATCTTAGTCCTCAAATTGAAAATGATTCAAAATTTAGCCACTGGATGAACAAAACATCCATTTCAAGAGTATATCTTTTTTTAAATTTCAATTTTCCAAACAAAATTACACTAAGATAACTACATTGTACCTTCATCATTATAATTCCCTAAAGACTTGAAAGATATGAAATTAGCTCCTTTTACCTTCAAACAAAGGTGTTGATGTTAAATTAAACAAATGTACTTTCTGTAAATATGTTTACCTCCACGCTGTACTGATGAAACTAAAGTTGCATAAGTACTAAATACAACTCCTTCTTTAAAATCGGCAGGTAAACCAAGAACTCTGTAATTAAATAAGTAATACAGTAAAAAACATGTTGTAGTACCGGCATTCCTAAATCACAAATAACAAAGCAAATATTAAGCGACTAAAGCCACTACAAAACCAAATCTAAGATACTTTACAATAATTCCTGCAACAATATCATATCATTCTTTTCATGCTTAGCTTATTTCAAATTAATGACACCTGTTGATCCCTAGAAAAAATAAATTAAGATCATTGTTGCCAAACCCTTACAAAAACTTGTTCAACAATGGACACAGATTTAAGATTGTGTGTTGCATATTACGCAAAAAAATGTTATAGATTTTTATCGAGAATCGATATAGCATAATAAACTGTTAACACAGAGATATGTCTCGCCTTTTTTGTAATTTTGATAATGCAAATGTTGAAATTAAAATAGCAATACTTTAACATGTAAGTTATGCAATAATTCAAAGTCAATGAACCATGACTGAAGGTACAGGCTAAACAATCTTCATGGAAATGAGATGTGCCAATGCTAATACAACTGCATACCAAATACCATTGACTTATCATAAGTCATTCCCTTTAAACCAGGCCTCTACAATAACTTTTTTTTCATTTTGCCCAATAGGACAAGTACATACCAAAACTTACTTGTCCGAAAGGAATTGCAACTTGTCCAAAAAAAAAATCTTATTAACCATTTTTGCATTCAAATTTTTTAAGTTGATTCAATGAACAAAATGAATAAAACAATAGAACAGAATTTGATTAATATTCAAAAATATGAGTTGAGAACAACTGAATCTAGTCATGTCACAGGACTTATGTTCTAGTTTTCATCAATGCAAAGTCTCATCAGACTCTGCACATGAGGCACAGTCTGGTAGGCCTATTAGTCTGCACTCATTTGGTTTGTATCCTGGTCTTTTATGTTGATAAAATATTGATTATTATGATTAATGCCTTACTGCAATCAGCTTTGTTTTTACTATATTAAAATGTTTATACAAATGCAATCAAGTATTGTTTTGTCTACATATGATCAAATATGATTTTATGAATTTTATGGTCAATAATTTCTTCATTTTTATTTTAAAAATATTTTTGTTAAATAAAATTTATCATATTTGTTATAAAGCAACATATATAATATGGTAGGGAAAAGAGGTTTGTCTTGGTCCCAAAATGTCTCCTACGGTGATGAACTGTCTATTAAACATGGAGCCAATCGCTTTCGTGCCAGTGCACAACTGTCTTGTTACCTTATCTAGAAAGCGCATCGCTGATTCCAATTCATAAGACTGGTTATAGAATATCTGACAAAGAACCAGTTTTAAATTATAGATCGCAAGAAAACATGTCAAATAAATATTTGTTTTATCTTCTTTTCTTTTTTTTTTTTGTTTATTACTTTGATCATCAAAGTTGGATTTAATTTATTTTCTACAGAATGATTTTACTTGTCCTGTCGCACAAGCTTGATATGGCTTTTACTTGTCCGACCTTTTTTTCCTCTGGTACCGGACAATCGGACAAGCATTATTGTCGAGCCTTGTAAACCAACCTAAACACAAACATTAACTTGTAAACTATGTTAAAGTTTCAAAGTCAATGAACCATGATGAGGGGGTGGGGCTATATAGTCTCCATGGAAACGAGACTTGCAAATGCAAATACAACTGCATACCAAATATCATTGACTTAATTAACATTAGCAGTTCACCTTAAACTGATCAAAACAAGATCACAAACTAATACATGTAAACTAAGCCAAAGTTTCAAAGTCAATAGACCATGACTGAGGGGGCGGGGCCAAATAATCTCCATGGAAATGAGATGTGCCAATGCTTATACAACTGCATACCAATTAACATTGGCCTACCACTAATGGTTCCCCTTAAACTGACCTAATCACAAACTAATATATGTAAACTAAGCCAAAGTTTCAAAGTCAATAGACCATGACTGAGGGGGCAGGGCCAAATAATCTCCATGGAAATGAGATGTGCCAATGCTTATACAACTGCATACCAATTAACATTGGCCTACCACAAATGGTTCCCCTTAAACTGACCTAATCACAAACTAATACATGTAAACTATGCCAAAGTTTCAAAGTCAATAGACCATGACTGAGGGGGCGGTGCCAAATAATCTCCATGGAAATGAGATGTGCCAATGCTTATACAACTGCATACCAAATATCATTGACCTACCACTAGTGGTTCACCATAAACTAGACCTAATCACAAACTAATACATTGTTGACGACGCCGATGCAGGAAACAGCATACCTATGTCTCGCTTTGGGGAGACAAAAATAATATCTTATACCATTTGTTACTCTCCACATTATGTTTATACTATAGATTCATTTTCACTGAACTAGTATACATTATTGTTTAGGGGCCAGCTGACATTATTGTTTAGGGGCCAGCTGACATTATTGTTTAGGGGCTAGCTGAAGCCTGCCTGCAGGTGCAAAATTTTCTTGCTGTGTTGAAAACCCATTAGTGGCCTCGGCTGTTTTCCGCTCTTTGGTCGGGTTGTTGTTTCTTTGACACATTCCCCATTTCCATTCTCTATTCTATTCTATAGTTGTGTTTAGTACTTATTCTTTTTTTTGTGGGTATAACTTTTTATGGATTAAAGAAATATTGTACTTCTTACATTTACCAACAAAATCCATGAAAATTAGTATCCCATTAATAATAAAGAATCCATAGTATTCACTATAGTTGAATAAGAGATGATTAACTTGTAATATTGAACAGTTTCTTTTTGTTTCACTAAATCTATTTTAAAAACCTGGAGTTATGTCTCAACATCAAACAATATACAAAAAGTTAGTAACATTATACATTTTTTTACTTTACTTTTCTATCTATCTACGTATCAATGCCATCCTTGACAGTACCAGGTGAGAACACACATTGGCAATTTCTTACCTTGTTTCCTTGTCCAATTCTTGACACCCATCTATAACTCTAATATGACATCCTAAATCTGTCAGGTCTCTGAAAAAGTTTACTTGAAAACTCTGTATTCAAATAAAAAATACATCAACATCAAATTAAATGTCCACTTTAAGGAATAACTTTGCAAAACCAAATTACAATATGATATACCAGGATTAAAATTTTGTACACATGTTGTATCTTCAAAACACTCATCATAACACTAGAATCATATAAAGAGCTAGGCCATAAGTGCATGATACGCTCGTCGCTTTTTCAATAAAGTTTTTAATAAAGTTCCATTACTCCTCAATGTCATATCAAAATTTTATAAAAAAAACAATAGGGAGCTTATTTTAATAGATATAAACCAGTCACCAAAGTTTCATGAAAACTGCTCAAAGCATTTTTGAGTTATTGTTGGAAAACTAGAAAATCCCCCCTTTCTTATGAATAAAATCCCATAACTCGGAAACGTAAAATCTAAAATTTATGAAAAACAAAAGGGAGCTTACGTCAATAGATATAAACAATTCACCAAAGTTTCATGAAAATTGGTTCAAACATTTTTTAGTTATTGTCCGACATGTTGACGACAAACTGACAGACAGACGGATGGATGGCAAGATGGACACATTACCATAATATGTCCCGTAAACAGACTTATAAAATGTTAAAATGCCAAATAAAGTATGAAAAAAAGTGACGATAACAAACCTTCGAGCATCCACAATTAGATCAGAAGAAATAGTAAACCATATGTGTTTTGTTCTTTTCCTTGAGAAGTTGTCAAGAATAATACCTGCTATCTACAAGATGAATAAATCATGGCATTGTTACATTTGTTTAAGCACTCTAATGACCCTGTATTAGCTCACTCCTGTATGGAATAATTTTGAAAATTGATATCATTGGATTATTTGTCCATAGAATTATTCTGTAAAGACAGTAAACTTAGGTTTCTGCAGAAAATCAATCTGAGTGTTGGTGGTTGATTTTGTCTGCAGTACTGCCTTTTATCTTTGGATTATTTTTCAATGTTTACACCATGGTATACTTTTAAACTTGCAAAAAAAATCATCATTAAATCTAAAAGAAATATGTTATCAAATCTGCTGTTTCATGCTAACTTATCATTTTTATGTGTATATTGCATAAAAAAAACTAAATCTGTAGAATTCAATCCAAGATTGTTATGGAATTACAGGCAACAACACAATATATCCAAAATTGCTTAAGAATATATCCCCCATTGCTTAAGAATAGTACCTGTCTTCCTTTACCAACACCTGCAGCATCCCCAATAAAGAATCCAGCTCGCTGACCGTTATTCAAAATCATCTGATGTCTCTGACACTGAAATAAAAATGTCCTTCAATCATAAAAAGATGAGAACATTTAATATAAGGCACTACACTTTTAGATTAGACAAAGAATGTGTCCATAGTACACGGATGCCCCACTCGCACTATCATTTTCTATGTTCAGTGGACCATGAAATTTAGGTCAAAACTCTAATTTGGCATTAAAATTAGAAAGATCATATCATAGGGAACATGTGTACTAAGTTTCAAGTTGATTGGACTTCAATTTCAACAAAAACTACCTCGACCAATAACTTTAACCTGAAGCGGGACAGACGGACGGATAAAGAACAAATGCACAGACCCGAAAACATAATGCCCCTACTACTATCGTAGGTGGGGCATAAAAAGCGACAGGTGTATCATGCACTCATGGCGCAGCTCTTTATTTTATTCTAGATGCATTTCATCTTTAAAACTAAGTATATTTTAGGATTAAATCTAAAATTTATAATACAATCTGTCTTAAAAGAGAAATTTTTTAGCTTAGAAATTTCAGGGGCGGATCCAGGATTTTTGGAAAGGGAAGTGTAATTCCCGATAATTGCAGAAATTTTTTTAGGACGATTTTAAACTAAAAAATTTAAATATATACTGGTATTTTTTATATTTTTTGGCGATCAAAGTGGGTCATCTCTATGCCTCTCGTCCCCCTCTATCCGCCACTAAATTTGAATTACTGGCATTTGATGTTTTCCATTCAAGTGTCTCTAAACAGTCTTTGGTAAACGAAACACACATCTGGCGTACAAAATTATAAGCCTGGTATCTATGATGAGTTATTTTATGATAAACTCTTGATCATTCTTTTTTGACTTTCATAAGATTTACAATGTTGCATATAAATGAGAGCATCTACTGATAAGCATTAAATAAATATGGGTTTTTTTCTTCACTGTCGTTTATATAATGGGATGGAATATTTACAATAAACTGTTAACACAGAGATATGTCTCGCCTTTTTGTAATTTTGATAATGAAAATGTTGAAATTAAAATAGCAATACTTTAACATGTAAGTTATGCAATTATTCAAAGTCAATAAACCATGACTGAAGGTACATGGGTAAACAATCTTCATGGAAATGAAATGTGCCAATGTTAATACAACTGATTAATAAATACCATTGACTTATCATAAGTCGTTTCCTTTAACATGTTTAAACAAACCTCAACACAAACATTGACTTGTATTATGTAAAAGTTTAAAAGTCAATGAACCATGATGAGGGGGTGGAGCTACATAATCTCCCTAGAAATGAGACTTGCAAATGCCAATACATTTGCATACCCAATATCATTGACTTAACATTAGTGGTTCATCTTAAACTGATCTAATCACAAACTAATACATGTAAACTAAGCAAAAGTTTCAAAGTTAATGAACCATACTGAGGGGGGCGGAGCCAAATATTCTCCATGGATATGAGATGTGCTAATGCTTATAAGACTGCATACCAATTAACATTGGCCTACCACTAATGGTTCCTCTTAAAATGACCTAATCACAAACTAATACATGTAAACTAAGCAAAAGTTTCAAAGTCAATAGACCATGACTGAGAGGGTGGGGACAAATAATCTCCATGGAAATGAGATATGTCAATGCTTATACAACCAAGTATCATTGACCTACCACTAGTGGTTCCCCATAAACTGACCTAATCACAAACTAATACATGTAAACTTAGAAAAAAATTCAAAGTCAATACAAGAGTGCACACGCTGAAATGTCTCGCCTTCTTTACTAATCATTGATATTATGTTGATAGTCCTAAACATAAAGCTTTATTACAGCTGTCACATAAACTTAACATTAACCAAGTAAACTAAACATTGACCAATGAACCATGAAAATGAGGTCAAGGTCAGATGAACCATGCTAGGCAGGCATGTACAGCTAACAATTCTTCCATACAACAAATATAGTTGACCTATTGCTTATAGTTTAAGAAAAACAGACCAAAACACAAAAACTTAACACTAAGCAATGAACCTTGAAAATGAGGTCAAGGTCAAATAAAACCTGTGTGACTGACATATAGATCATAAAATATTTCCATACACCAAATATAGTTGAACTATTGCATATAGTATTAGAAAAAAAGACCAAAACTCAAAAACTTAACTTTGACCACTGAACCATGAAAATGAGGTCAAGGTCAGATGACACCTGCCAGCTAGACATGTACACCTTACAATCATTCCATACACCAAATATAGTAGACCTATTGCATACAGTATAAGAAAAAAAGACCAAAACACAAAAACTTAACTATAACCACTGAACCATGAAAATTCGTAAGGGTTCCGCGGAACCCAGTGTCTCGCCTAATTTTGGTGTTAATCGCAGGCTCAACAAAAATGAAGAAAAAAATTAATAAAAATATTCCCCTCTATACTATGTTTTGATTGTAAGTAGCTTCTGTCCAAGTTTGGTAAAAATCCAGGATAAATTATGAATCTAATAAATGTTTTAAAAACTTAAACTGCAGAATGTATGTAATGTTGACTGGAAGAAAAACTAAGTCCATTTATAAGTAAAATACAGAAAAAATGGAACAAAATTTTATCAAAATTTCCTTCTAGATACTATCTTATGATCATAAACAAGCTTCTTTCCAAGTTTGGTATAAATCCAGGATAGTTTAAGAAAGTTATTGAAATTTCAAAAACTTTAACCACAGAGTGAATGTAATGTTTCCTGGCAGAAAAACTAAGTCCATTTATAAGTAAAATACGGAAAAATGGATTTTTTTTTTTTACAAAATTTACTTCTGGATACTATCTTATGATCATAAACAAGCTTCTTTCCAAGTTTGGTAGAAATCTAGGATAGTTTAAGAAAGTTATTGAAATTTTAAAAACTTTAACCACAGAGTGAATGTAATGTTAACTGGCAGAAAAACTAAGTCCACTTATAAGTAAAATACGGAAAAAATGGAATTTTTTTTTTACAAAATTTACTTTTGAATATAATCTTATGATTATAAACAAGCTTCTGTCCAAGTTTGATAGAAATCCAGGATAGTTTAAGAAAGTTATTAAAATTTCAAAAACTTTAACCACAGAGTGAATATTTGTGGACGCCGCCGCCGACGACGACGACGACGCCGCCGACGGAATGTAGGATCGCTATGTCTCGCTTTTTCGACAAAAGTCGAAGGCTCGACAAAAATGAGGTCAAGGTCAGATGACACCTGCCAGCTGGACATGTACACCTTACAGTCCTTCCATACACCGAATATACTAGACCTATTGCTTATAGTATCTGAGATATGGACTTGACCACCAAAACTTAACCTTGTTCACTGATCCATGAAATGAGGTCGAGGTCAAGTGAAAACTGTCTGACGGCACGAGGACCTTGCAAGGTACGCACATACCAAATATAGTTATCCTATTACTTATAATAAGAGAGAATTTAACATTACAAAAAATCTTAACTTTTTTTTCAAGTAGTCACTGAACCATGAAAATGAGGTCAAGGACATTGGACATGTGACTGACGGAAACTTCGTAACATGAGGCATCCATATACAAAGTATGAAGCATCCAGATCTTTCACCTTCTAAAATATAAAGCTTTTAAGAAGTTAGCTAACGTACATATATTAAAATTAAATATTGCATTGTATTAAACAAAAAACATATTTAGGCAATATCATAAATTGTGTTATCTTTCTTTGTCCATAATAATGTAGGCAGAACAGATAGATTTATTCATACACAATACACTATCTGCAACTAGTATGATTTTAAACAAATATATCATGCTTACAAGGGGTATTTGCCAAAAATACCGGTTGAGAGGTAAACAAATTTCCAGAGCGGTTAGGCGAGGGAAATTTGTTTATCTCGAAACCAGTATTTTTGGCAAATACCCCTTGTAAGCATGATATAATTGTTTAATTCAACCAAATGTTCTTTGTATCCATCTTGACATCAGAATTTTTATTGTAATCAGGTATCCTATGGAGTTTCTGCTTAACTGTATAATTTTTGTATATACTGCAGCTGTGCTATTTGCACAGTCAAATTGCATTCACCGTATAATCATTTCTAATGTACAGTCACTTACCGTATATTGCCTTATTTATGACGTTGACAATGCGTTTCCATAGAGTTTAATTCATGACGTCATTAAAAGTACAGGTTCACAGAATTTTTACGTCATTCGCTCCAAATTCAAAAATGATGGTTTTTACCCTAAATATTTCCTTTGGAACAGTTGTAGAAGCTTAAGTTGCAGTATATAAAGAATAACCATTAATTTGTCCTATTACAATAGGAATAATTCATGGGGTTATTTTTAGACATGGTATTTCCCATCTGCCATGGTATTTGCTAGCAAATACCGGCACATGGAATTCCCCAATGACAAATACACCGGCAGAGAAGAGGAAATCTCAATATATAGAAAATTTGTGATAAATACCGTTTCTCTCATCCAATCAAAATACAGCATTATTACATAAGGTGGAATTATTATTAAAATTAATTTCTTGACAGGGCAGTAATAAACAAACATATCAATTTTCCATGTGAAAATATGAGTAGAGAGTAGATATATCTAAAAGGTTGCTTGGCATGGGCTTGGATAGATTAACTTCACTACACCATTTCATGTCCTGTTGATGCCTAGTGCTATTATACGATTAAAAAAGTAGGACAAAAATAGTGAACATAAGTCAGTAGATCCTGTGAAAAAGTGAAAAAATAAAGATGCAAAATTTTACAAACGACTATCAAAAGTTAAACAATGTTTCTCTGGGACTGCATATAAAAAATGTATTGTCTTACATACTTACTGCATATAGTACCCCTTCTATCTGTAAACTACTGAGTTTTCCAGTAGCAACTATCTCAGATGTTATACCTTCAACAACTGGATAGTCAGGGTCTGGAGGTAGTAATTCCTGCAAAATACAACAAAATTTGGTCATAGAATATAAATAATCTTATACTAAAGACATACAGCCTTGGGCAGTTTTCTGCTATTTGGTCGGGTTGTTGTCTCTTTTGATACATTCGCCATTTCCATTCTCTATTCAATTTAATGTGTTTATGTAAAGGAAAACAAATTCATAATAAGAAATTTCATTTTGACATTATAGTATATGACCATTAGCAGAATCTTAAATAAATCAAACTAACATAGCCAAGCAATACATTATAGTACATGGGGTGAATATGCAAGAGACAACAAACAACATAGGAAATCTATGATTATGGAGTTTGCACTTGATAAACTTGAAATAAAATTAAATGTGTTGATTCAAATGTATGAATAATTCAATTACTTACTGCAAGAGGTCCAGCCTCTACAATATCCCCTGGGTGGGGCATACACCCTGGTACAATCTCTCTGTGGACATATTTTGAAAATACTTCAGTACTGAAAATAGAAATGATAAGGATCTAACTGACTTTTGTATACAATCCGAATAAATGTATTGCCATAATCATTAATCTGTATAGGTCAAAGGTCAGAAGCATGTTTAATCATCAAAGAAGGAAAATTCATAATGTTTGAGAATCAAAGCTGACATATCTGCAACTTGTTCAAATTATAATTCACCCCTCTATATTATTTTCAAATATATTTTCACTATACATTTTACAAAGGTGGTAATTTGTATAATGAACTTTTCAACCATAAAAAAATAAACATTCTTTAATTGAATCCTTGTTCATTGGTTATATTTTATAAAATGTACATCTGTAAATAAAACTAAAAATATCCACTAACAGTGACCTCTAACCTTACCTGACACTTTCTTCAAGCCCATCATCCTTCATTTTTCCAATTTCTTCCTGTTCAGTTAGATCGACTGTAGGTGGTTTTGGTGTCTGCTGTACAACTAAACCGTTAGTTGGATACAATCCATTTAGGGTCTGAATCTGTTGCAATATTGGATGCACTGGAATCATAGGTGATCCATTTGACATCATCATTGGTGATTGGTAAGCTTCATTAGTTATTTGGCTTAAATTAATCATTTGAGAGGCTAACACAGGAGGCATTGTTGACATCTGCATTGATTGGTTCATTTGACTAACATTAGGTGATATCAAATTTTGTGGAAGCATTGTTTTGATACTTTTTTCAGCCTGAGGTACAGCTCCTTCCTTCGAGTTCAATATCTGGGACAATACTGACCTATTTTGACACAATGAATGATCTGTTCCATTGTTATTACTTAAACTATTCCCCGAGGTTTCAGCTTTCCCATTTAATTTTTCATGATCAGCATCATCATCATTTTTGTGTTTATTCTGTAATTTGAATTTCTTGACTCCATGCTTTGAAGTATCATTTTCCTGCAGCAGACTCTCCGTTTCCATAGCCAAAAAAAGCCTGAAATCAGTTATAATAAATATTCATGAGAAGCAATGTGGGATAAGATTATTATACCATATAACATGCATGACTCAATGAACGCTTTTTTACATATTTTTTGGGGGGAGAATTTGAGGTGATGGCAGATCTTTGATTTGTTTCCTTTTAATGTTTGAAAACTTTTGTCAGAATCCGGGCAATTTCTAAATAGAGCTTGATATATTGCTTAGACATCACTCTATTGATGAAGACAGTATGTTGTCCTCTAAATGTGTTTCGGTTATTTGTGTCCTTGGCTTCCTGTCTAATTTACATGTACCCCACATCTCTTTTTATTTATTGAGTAAAGCATAAATGTATGTGCATGATATTTGATAGGTCTTAAGGGAGCTTATAAATAAATGCTTGACAAATATTTTATTCTCCTCTTCATATTTTCAACACTTAATATATATACAAGAACCAGCAAAGGGCATTTTGTTTTAATTCTTGCGACATTAAGAAATGTTCATTCCTGACCTTTGACAGCCATATGTTAGGTGGATGCATTTAAGTCGCTAACTAAACATCTGTTTGAAAAATGTCACTCGCCTATAATCAAGCAATTGGTCATAGAACAACAAACTGACTGACAGTCAATCATGCATTTACAATCAAAACTACATTTTGTATCTGTCAGCTATTCTTATATTATTAAAATTTAGATAAAAACAGAAGGAAATCCTTGTAAGGCCCCACCAAATCTCAACCAACAAATAGTTAAAACAGTTGTGCTAAATTAAAATAACAATCAGCTGAGTGATAATGCAACATCACTTAACAAGAGCCCATGAAATGTAAAATAATTACTCAAATGATCACCTGGTTCCCCTTTAAATTGTCTACATTCTTAAATTTGTTGAGGTACAAAGTACTTTGAGCAATAAACCAGTTCGGCCATATGTTGTTTCAGCCATACACTTGTTTGGCCTTGGTTGTTTTTTCTCTATGATGATGATGGAAGTGTTTACAATCTTGACTCGCTTTACAGCCCTCGCACGGTTGGCTCAGTGCCCGAAGGCGTTTGGTTAGCATTTAAATGTTTTTGTTGTTGTCAAGCTGGAACAAGACAGCCATTTTGGTTTTGCTGGATTGATTTGGTTTTTTACTTTTGTTGTTTGGTTGCAGTCTACTTCCTTCACAACGGCTGCTTTCAGGGCCAGGTTGGTCAGCTTGGCAGCCCGCTAACCACAATGTTGAAGTACTAGCCGATGGGTCTTGGACTTTGTAATAACGATGATACAGACACTCAGACGTCAGTTGGCATACTTTGTCCCCCATAATGGATGTTACGGACCATATGCTAACACGGTATATACACAAAACAACAAGTTTATGAACGTACTATACAGCGTTAGATTGGTTTCTACCATCGATAGTAGTAAGTCATTGATCCATCTATCAGTAAACCAACATTGTAGATAGCAGGTAAAGAGGAGCTGACCCAGAACGTCCTTTCAGTTGTAATGACTGAGACGTGACTGTGAGAAAATGATTGATGAGATGTGACGTTTCTCTATGTCTGTTTCTATCATTATTTCTAATCAATTAATTAGCGGTAAGTAAATATTTCTTAATTACATATGAAAAGACTTTTTTAATAAAGATAAATACGATGCAGTGTAAGGAAAATGTCACAGCAGGTAAAGCCATCTCCCTGTCTCAATCAGTTACGTTAGTATATTCAATTAGATAATTGGATTAGCTAAGTGATAAAATAAGTGTCTAGGTGATTGACAAAGGTGTGTGTCTCGTAATTAACCAATCAACTTATAATTTAATTTGATCATGTAAAAAAATGTCATCTTTTTGTTTGCTTATGCCACTTTTATATTAAGATAGAATATAAAAATACAGTAATCAGTGAGTGAAACACCTAAAATATAATGGAAGTTTAGGCACATACAAAAATGAGTGCACAAAATCATCTTTTGGACTACACTATTTGATTACAAAAAAATTCATACAAAAGACTTTTATTACATATAGCCAAAACGGTACATGGCCGAAAAAACCAAGGCTGAACTGGCTTCATAGCTGAAACGTCTCGTTTCCAAAGTCGTTGTTGTCTAAATTCCAAACAAGTGAAGATGGCTGCACGCTCCTTTTTTCTCTTAGGGGGAAAAAAAAGAGTACAGATATGGCACCTCCACTTAATAAATTGTTTCTTTGTAGGGTTGGGTGTTTTATGGAACTCTAGTTTAAGAAACACTATACAGGTTGTTAGTCAGTTAATTAAACAGGTTCGGGACAACCCACCAAATGGGGAACTTTTCCCCAATGAGTTACAATCCTTCATTTGAGTAATCATTGGAGTGCTAAAAACAATTTTTTCTTAACGGAGTCTTTTCACTTAAAATGGCACATATTCATAGAAAATGCAGCAAATCTTTAAAAAAAATGAATACAGTAGCCGTAACCTGATTTACTGAGAAGTTACAAGCCTATGAAAACTTCGCAAAAACTGACAAATTTATTATCAAGGCTACTCAAATTTTAGAAATTCAAAATAAAAATATAGTTCTTTGGAAATTATAAGTTGTTCCATTTTTGTCGAGCTTGCGAAATTTACGTGGAGAAAAAATAAATAAGGATCGTGAGTTCAAATTTGAGCACTCTCTATTGTATTTTTTTCTAGGATTATAAAAGAACGTAATCTGAATGGTTATTTACTGTAGCTGTGTCGTTTATTATTTCTGTTTTGGTACAAATGACAGCTTTCTTTTTACTTTTTTCTCTGTTGTTGCCGCGATTTTTTCTGCAACTAAACGTATCTCAGTGTTAGAGAGCATCTAACTAATTAACTAAATACCGCAAAAATATAACACCAGGGGCGTGTTTTTTTGTTCTTCGGTAGTGAGCCAGAAGAGGTCCATTTCTTTTTTTTTGAATTAGGAAGATCTTCTGGCTCTCTTCCACCTCTTCTTTTTAAATAGGTGGTTTAGACGGCAGAGGCACAAAACAAACATGGCGTCGTTTAGTCTAAATGACATTAATAAATTCATGAATGAATATATATTAGAATGTGAGCTGTGTTATAAACGTTTTTATGGTATGACAACCTTAGTAGGACATCTCTGTAGGACGATAAGCTGGATGAATATAAGAACTACACGGACAATAACAGTTAAGGGACAACTATTCGTTGAAATTTTAGGGAAGGGATTTTGATTGGTGTTTTACGCTACTTTCAACACTCATGATTGGGCTAGTAGTCAGCCTGTTTAAATCAATAGATGAGGAATTAATGAAGAAGGAAAGAGGGCATTATTATTCATTTTAATTTGTCGCTTATCATACCTATTTTTAGCACTTACCAGGCAACCATATCAGTCATATACGAAATCCTCCTGTCCCCCATCCCAACAAATAAATAAATATCAGATGGTTTTCTCTTATTAAACACAAGTTTAAATTGATCATGCTAATTTTTAACGCCCAATGACAAATATTTCATGCATGTTCAGGAAAACACGAGATAAAATGTCGGGTAAATTATATAAAAACGAAGAGATGTGATATGATTGCTAATGAGGCAACTATCCTAATATGAAGTGGATGTAAGCAATTATAGGCAACCTTGAGGCCTTCAACAATGACAAAACCCGATACAGCAAAATTGAGTTAAAGGAAAGCATAAAGAAAATTGTAACGAACAGAGAACACTTTTACAGTCATGTCTACTGCATGGACGTATCTTAATATTCTAAAAAAATCGTAAACTTAATTTATGTCATCCAACATAACAAAAACCTGCTATATTCGGCGGCAAATTGCATTTTTATTTTATTGATCTTCCATAGAATATCTCCAGAAGAGGTCCAGATTCATTTTTTTGGACGCTTCACCAGAAGACATTCTGGAGATGTACCGAAGAGACCAATAAAACACGCCCCAGGGGCGTGTTTTATTGGTCTATCCTGCACATCTCCAGAATGTCTTCTGGTGAAGAGTCCAAAAAAATGAATCTGGAGATAACCTGGAGATATTCTACGGAAGATCAATAAAACAAAAATTCAATTTGCCGTCGAATATAGCAGATTTTTGTTATGTTGGATGACATATTAAATGAAGTTTACGATGATTTTATAGAAAATTAAGATACGTCCGGTAGACATGACTGTAAAAGTGTGCTCTGTTCGTGACATGTTTCTTTGTTCTTTCCTCTAACTCAATTTTGCTAGACAAATCAGGCGTAAACCCCACTATTTGATTTTTAAGAATAATCTTAAACTGCACAAAAATTCGTCAATGTTTGTCTCGAATATGATCAAAAAGGACATCTTGTCTATTCAATTTTTTTAAAGTAACCAAACTGGATTATTTTTGTATAAAGCAAAAATATCGGAAAGTTCTCAAAATCATTTTTCTCTGGTGGTCCTTGAAGAAAATCTTCTGGTCCTAACTATTATTTCTATTGCATAATTTGGATGGTCAAAACCTTCGGACCACCACTTTTCAAAAATTTTCATTGTATATGGATCTATATGCAAGTATATATATATACAATGTATACCAGACATTTCTCAGACTGTTTTTTCTTTTTTTTTTTTAATAAATCCGTTGGTTGTGTACTGATTGATACTTCAGTCTTGGAGAACAAGATTTATTTCAGTACTATAGTTGTAATTAGCTTTGAGCAAACTTCCAGTAATTGCAAATACCCTTATTTCGGTGCTTTGTGTCTATTGTCTTAATGTAAGTTTTTTTTTGTGTGTCTCGTACCGATCTTTTGAGTTAATCTTATTGCAATTGATTTGTGCAGGTTGTTCTAATATTGTTCTGTTACACCACTGTCCCAGCCTCGGGGAGGGTTAACAAACATGTTATTGTACTGTTACACCACTGTCCAAGGTTAGGGGGCTGGTTGGGCCGGATCCCGCTAACATGTTTAACCCCGCCACATTCTGTATGTATGCTCTGTCCAAAGTCAAAGTCAAATGTAATTCAGTGGTTGTCGTTTTTTGCTGTGTTACATATTTGTTTTTCGTTCATTTTTTTTGTACATTAATTAGACCGTTAGTTTTCTCGTTTGAATTGTTTTACATTTGTGATTTCGGGGCCTTTTATAGCTGACTATGCGGTATGGGCTTTGCTTATTGTTGAATGCCGTACGGTGACCTATAGCTGTTAATTGCTGTGTCATTTGGTCTCTTCTGGAGGGTTGTCTCATTGGCAATCTTCGTTTTTTTATCAACCCTGCCATATTCTGTGTGTGTCTATCCCAAGTCAGGAGCCTGTAGTTTAGTTGTTGTCGTTGGTTCATGTCTCGACTCATATTTGATATTTTGTAAATTATTTTGTTATGTATAATTAGGCCGTAAGTTTTCTCGTTTGAATTGTTTCGCACACTTTTCACGTCGGGCCTTTTGACAGTATCGGGCTTTGTCATTGTTGAAGGCCTTAATTACGGTTGTCTATAATTGCTTACATCCACTTCATATTTGAACTCCGGTGGATAGTTGCCTCATTAGCAATCATACATTTCTTCGTTTTTATTTATTTACCTGACTTTTAAACTCGTGTTTTGAACCGAGTCCTGAACATGCATGACATATTTGTCACTGGGCGTTAATAATTAGCAACAAACAATCAACCAATTAAACTTGTGTTAAATAAGAAGAAAAAACATTTGATATTCATTCATTTAGTGGGGTGGGCTGGTAATTAAGAGCTGAAAAATATGCATAATAAGCGACAGATTAAAAATGTTAATAATGCCCTCTATAAATTTAAACTGACCATCACGGAATAGCCCAACTTAGTGTTGAAAGTAGCGTTAAACACCAATCAATCAAAATCCCTTCCCTAGAATATCAAATAGTCGTCCCTTAACTTTTATTGTCCGTGTAGTTCTTATATTTATCCAGCTTATCGTCATACAGGGATGTCCTATTAAGACTGTCATACCATAAAAACGTCTATAACACAGCTCACATTCCAATATATCTGCATTCATAAATTTATTAATGTCATTTAGACTAAACGACGCCATGTTTGTTATGTGCCTCTGCCGTCTAAACTACCTATCAAAAACGAAGAGGTGGAAGAGGGCCAGAAGATCTTCCCTATGCAAAAAAACAGAAATGGACCTCTTCTGGCTCACTACCGAAGAACAAAAAAACACGCCCCAGAGAAAGCAGTTTACCGAAACGTACCCATTTGAGGAATAGCTATCATAGAAAACGCGCAGTGTACACTTATACTATACAATAACTTTATTTCTGTGAATGTTTCTATTTTTAATAATTTTCATTTAACCAATAAATGTGAATGTGAAGTATTTAAAGTTCTGTAGATTTTCATTAGAATGAAAATAATGATGCATTTCCGAAAGCTTTTTAAAATATTGAACTGTCAGGTCAGAATTCCATTACCCTATGAATCTAGACAATGAACTTAAATCCTCGGGAAAATTAATTCAAAGGTTGTTTAAAATTGTCAGATTTTGTTTAGATTATATCCGTATGGAAAAACCCAAAAGTTAAAGATACAATATGAAATCCGGGTTGCTCTTACAATGCGTTTTTAATAAATAAAAAGAAAAATTATAGGTCAGGGGACTCTTCTTCTTACTACAAACAAAATATTTGAATTTAATATTACACATTCCTTAATAAAAGTTACATTATCTGAGTTACCCTGCTTTATGGTTAATTGAACTGAAAACAAGTTGAATCAAAGACATGAATTCTGTATTTATTTAAACAGACATTCACCCACAATAAGATAGCACCCATAATTTTCTTCGATTAGACGAAACTGGATATTTCATAAAAAAAAATCTAGACCAAATGTTTTCTGCAATTCGGCAACAATCCAGGATTGAGGAAAACATCAGATCTACCCAAGTTTACCTAAACTTGTTGCAAAAATCAAAGAGGCCATTAAATTGGACCTGTTCATGGTCGTTTACAGTTTGGTTTCTTGTCGTTAAAGCCACTGATTTACATCTAACAAAAAAATGTTAATAATATATGGTTGTCATGCGCTGAACATGATCACTGACTTTTGTAACTGAACAATGTGAAATATATTCTTCGTAATCCAAGCTGTACTGTCAAACAATCACAAACATCAACATTTATTTTTTTAGTTTGTGATCCATACATAAATCGTGCCTTGATTTCAAGGAATATCCAAAATCGTGTAAAATTATAAATATCCTCACTAAATCTCAAGAATTAAGCTTAATATCTGAAATGAGTAAGTAACAGCTTAATGCCTAGGATTTGGCTTAAATTTCACATGTCACATAATCATATTGACAGTCATCCACTTCCCAGGTTTCACTTATTGTCTAACATGTACAATAATGATAATGTATCCAAGCCATGCAAGAACAATATTTCGATCCTCGGTATGGTCAAATCAGAGACTTTAAAAGGGCATTCAAAGTTTTTCTATCAAGAAAGCAGTATTAAGGAGTGATCAAAGTAATATTTCGCTGCAGGGTAGGTGTTGTTGAAGATTGTATGTTACTCTATTGATGCGTTTTGTTTGTGTCAGTTTTTCCGTTTGGTTGCTGTCTGATTGACGTATACCCCAGGGTAGATGTTGTTGAAGATTGTACGTTGCTCTATAATTGATGTATTTTGTTTGTGTCAGTTTTGCCGTTTGGTTACTGTCTGGTTGACGTATACCCCATATCCTTTAATTCAAATGAATAAAAACACAATCTAATTAAAATAAAGATCTCTGATTTTGTTATGCTCATAATACAACGGTAAGCGAGATACAATAGATCAAATTGATCATAACATTACGTGCTTGACAAGCATGTACCAACGAAACGATGATTTCAAAAATCATTAAAAGCTATTCCCACAACACTGTCATATTTTGTTTGATCTTATTGGATTAGTGCATCTATCATGATCACTGGTGTTAAACTGATCGTGGTAATTGCAGTTACCACGATCCCAACATGGCGGAGGTAGAAATCGGTAAAATCGTTTTCTGCTAATTTCTCCGTGTAAACATGTTAATTTCAAAAACTTCTCAGCCGCCAGGTTGATCTGTATGGTTTTGTTTTGTGTGTCATATATGGCCTCGTTACCAAAATAATAAAAAAGATTTTGTTACATAGTCAATCTGTCATTTCTAAAAAAATCTCTATTGAACGAATTTGATGTTTACTCTAAGGTAAGCAATTTTTTTGTCAAAAAGATATTGTTCGTTGAACTAACCATTAAAATTATTTTTATCAAATAATCGGCAAAATGCTGCAGTTTATAAGAAATTTGTCTTTTTGTTTGTTTGTTTGTTTGTTTGGAAGTTGACAAAACCAAGTCAAAAAATTGTTAGATACTATTGTGTTGACTTGTATTGCAAAACAAAGTTAGTTATAGTATACACTATAATAGCAAAGAATTCCGCCCAAACAAGTGATATTGGCCGTCTTGATCTTGTAGGGAGTAGAGAGTTTTTGTTCCATGTTGAAGACTTTACTCCATGAAGATGAAGAACAACAAAAGCGTGTGTAGTGATTTTGTGTCACGAACTACACCATGTTCTTATTGAAATACACAATATCCTGTCTTTTCCAGTATTATATATAAAACGGTCTTAAGTAAGTATTGTTGAGCAAGAGAACAACGTTCTCGCCAAAATATTATCGTTATGATATCGTTTATCTATTGTGGTTGTTTTTTGTTTTGCTTAACCCTCCTGTGAGTTTGAGTTCGATATCATATCATCTTCAACGACATTGTGCGTTTTTTTTTGTGTGAAATTTTTGGCTATTTGCCTCGCATCTCTAAGACGTTTTAGTTCATTGCCAAGGACTGTTTGCGTTACTTGTCATTGTCTTGTTGAATCTAATTTTAATCTTATACCATTCGTTTTGCCTAAATTTTTTGGCTTTGTTCTTTGAAACTCTTTTGGTTCTTTAGTGTAGTGTATTCATTTGGATGTGTTGTATCGGTATTTTTTGAACATCATTATTTTGGTTTTAGTAAAAAATTTATTTCAATACCAAATACTATGTTTTGACCTTTTTATTAGTTGGAATCATTATATCTTAAAATGGTTCAAGTTCTGATATATTGTTGCCTTGTTATCGATAAGGAAAGTCATAAGGATAAGGGGTGGCACGGATAGAAGGTGGTAAAAAAGGGGAATGTGGGATAAATGGGGTTAAAAAGTGGTATCTGGCAAAAAGATGGAAAATCATTGAAAGTGGGAAGTGGGAAAATTACAAAAAAAGCGGGATTTGGGAAATAAGCGCCCCTTGTATCTTCTCTGAAGATTGAAATCAAGTTTTTAATTTCTCATTTAATATTATGGTTATGTTACATTTTAATCCAGCATAGTTATGATTGACCACAAGACTATTTAATTATGACGATCATAGTTTTGTGCTTGATGGACAGAAGCTATGTGGTCAGAGCTATAGTACATGTATACATGCAAAAATATATGTAAGAAATTATAATTTAAATTTTTGATATGATACTAAGCGACATGTTAAGCATGAATAATGCATGCTTAGTACGGTTAATTTCATTCTAAAAGCTAATCCTGATAGGTATATAATTTGAAATTACATTGTAAAAGATTATTTTTCTCAGTCCCCAAGATTTTAATAGAGAAAAACACAGACTAATCAATTTGAAGTCGTAACTGGTTTTCGTCATTTCTTGAATTAACGGCCGATTCTTTCTGAAACCAATTCCCTTAACATGGGGATATATCGATTTAAATTCTGTACGAAGTCAAATTAAAACTTATTGTCAAAACCGGTGGATATTCCTGAGACAATACTGCAAATCTGAAAGCAATCACTTAATTGAATATTCAGTATAATGCGATCCTAGATATTTTATCCGTAAAGATTACAGTTCCGTACCTAACTGACCAATGATTAATCGAGTTGAGGAAACAAACATGACGATCATTTACTATGTTCAAGATTAATAAAAATCATAGGCTGGTTATCTGTCCAGATAGAAAGTGTAATTTGTGTTGCAAAATGAAGCTATGATTAAGATCGAAGGTAAACAAACATATGAGTAGTAAATGAGTTCTGTGCAAAATTAATGTTAAGGATATATATTACAGTGAGGATTAACATGTAAGTAGGTAAGTATAATAATTGATCATTCTTATACTATTTCTCTGCTAAATATGAAAATAGTCATCAGTTATCACTTTCAAAAATTCATCATGCAAATTTTGTCACAGTAAACTTTATCATTTAATGTATTCAAAAATATTTTTGTATTTAATGTCCGTAGGAGAGCAGGGAGAAACCAAACGGGACAATTCTCCCCAACATCCACCAAAAGGGGGCATGTTTCCATCCCTCTGCTCTTTCTGGAGAGCGAAAACAAATACAAAGAAGGAAGATTATATAAATGTTGTTGGTCGGTCAAGAAAATTCACATTTTTTTGGCGGTGCCTTCTCCTTTTGAGATATATTTTCATGAACCATTGTTCAAATTTTACTGCTTGTCATGAACATGCATAAAATATATTTTCATGAAACATTGTTCAAGTTTTACTGCTTGTCCTGAACATGCAGGAAATGTTTGCCACTAGCCGTTAAGCAAACAACAATCAATCAATCAAAGTTTACTTTGATAATGCACCAAGGAGGAGATGTTCAATTAATTTTAACAGTTATAGTAGCACGGTGTTTATTGGCTAAATACATATTTTTCCTATCTCACCACCTACCCTCAATTACCACTATTATGAAATTTCAATGCCTACCCTAACACATTTATGGACATTTTTCATACCATCGTTAAACTCCAGAAATTTTTGGTTAAACAGCGTTAAAGTCCAGAACATTTCCTTATAAAGTCTAACCAAAACTATTTGACTCCCTTACCTATCATAATTTTTTTCCGCGAGGAGGCAGACATAGTGTATATACACTCTTTGTCTTTATTATTCAAACACCAAAATTTCAAGGATGATTTGGTTCACGGACTATTCACTTGACCCTTATATTTAGTTTTCCTCATAATGCCGAATTTTGAAAACTTGAAATTTCTATAACTGTTCAAACAAAGAGAGAAGGATACAATCCTACGTTTCTTTCATATCTTCATTTCATGCAAAACAAATAAAGGGAAATGCTGGATAGATGTCAATGAGACAGCAAACTAACGACACAAAAACAAGACCTCTAGAGTTCTACATATGTCGTCATCAATTGGTATAGACAACGAGACAACAAACCAACGACACAAAAACAAGACATCTAGAGTTCTATATGTTGTCATCACTTAGTATTGACAATGAGACAGCAAACCAAAAACACAAAAACGAGACCTGTAGAGTTCTACAAATGTCGTCATCAATTAGTATAGACAATGAGACAGCAAACCAACAACACAAAAACAAGACCTCTAGAGTTCGTCATAGGTCTACATCAATTAGTATAGACAATAGATATAAGAAGATGTGGTATGAGTGCCAATGAGACAACTCTTCATCCATAAAGCTATATATACATATACAATAAAGCTATATATGCATATACAATTATATGTCAAGCTCTAAATCGACAGATTTAGAAATGTTGAGAATGAATTCAATAGACAGGAGAATTAAATGACATCAACACCAAATTCCTAAGTTATTTATTTTCAAAATCCCCCTGCCCCAAGAAAATAAAATGGTCGTCCTCTTACATTACTCTCTGTCTTAAATTAAAGGGGCGTGCTATATCTTTTAGCTTTATACTATAATTAGTGTGTTGGTTATGTTGATAAATGCCAGTCATAAATTTATATTGACCATGAAATCAGATATGACAAATGCAAATGTCATTTTATCCTTTTTTACTCTTTTCCCCCATAGTAGAGTTGTCCATTTTTAGTGTTTAATTTGGATCTTGTCATCACTATTATATAACAGAAGTTCATGATCTTAACATAAACAAAGCGTTACAGATGTATTATCCAGACGAATATAAATCAAGGTTGTAACTGATTACCAACTTCTCGAAAATATTTACTAATTTAATCAAAATAATTACGTATAGCATATTTTACCGGTAATTTCATCTAACAGCACAGACATGAAAAAGAAAATTCTTAGATTAATCATACATTCTAAGCCATGAAGGAGTAGGTGGTAAACAAACGGAAGTTGCAAACTCGTTCACTAATACGTATGTAACCCCATAAAAATTGTCATAAAAAAACGCAAAAGAGCAACGACGAGACGCTATTAACATCATGTACATCACACTATTTTACTAATTCCTTTAAAGGTCTAAGAGCACGAATCTCAAGAACAATTTAATGGATGCAGATTTGAAATAAAACCCAATTTAGGTTTTGCATGTATGTAATGAAGCCAATACATAGTGGGAATCTTGTGGTGGGTTAGCAGCTTTCAATTCAGTTAGTGTGCAAGCAGGTTTATCTACGATTTAATCTTCAATAGAAGTTTTTAGATGTGAACATGTTTGACTATGTGATATCAGTTTTGAGCATTTCAATATACATGTAGTTCTTACGTCTAACAACGACAAAATTGTTGGCTGCTTTATCAGCAGGCACAACAGCAAACTGATTGTATTTGCCTTTTAGTCACTTTCGTAGAACGGTTGTGCAAAAAGTTACTTTTGAAATGTTTAATAGCTTTTTGAAGAAGACAAGATATATATATAAACGTATTTAATTCAGGAAAAGCGTAGCTTTGAGTGGATTAAATATGTTAATGAGTAAGGCGTGGCTATATGTGATTTGTAACATTAATTACTTTCCCGGCGATGATTTTATTGAACGTTCGTTTATGTCCCCTTTTTCACTCCATTGATCGAGATTAAAAGAAGGGGGATGCAATCTGAAAAAAAAACTTGTGTATCCATGACTCGACACATGTGCATGTGCCTGTCTCTTGACAGGGGTCTTGATAGTGGTTATATCTTTATTTTTATTTAGGAAAATTGGTATAGATGGTAGATCTTTCATAATGTCTGTTTTATAATAATAAATTTTTTATTTTATACTCGGGGTGAATCGAGATTTTGTATCATGCGACACTTACATCTATTTTTAAATATATATGTTGACCCTTAATGTATCTTACCTTTTTGTGTCATTTGGTTGTTGTCTCGTTGACGTAAATCAAGCATATCCTTTTAATCATATTCAGAAATTCAACTTAATTGTTTAGCAAAGAAAAAGGGGCTAAGTTCCCTGATATGATAGACAAACTCGTTAAATAAATCGATTTTCAAAATTAGTTTAGAGTTGAAATAATATAGCATGCAAATCAAGAGTTTAAATGCCTTGCTTGCAACTTTGTTTGGTTGTTTGCTCAGACATTGTAATTAAGATTGACATCTAAATTCAATGGGTAGTCTGTTTACTATATAAAAAGATTTGATTGGACAATGGATATCATATTATTTCCAGTCAGACACTTAAAGGGTAGACAGAAAAAAAAAGAATAGTTAGTTAAATGTGAACCAATTTTGAACACTAATTAATAATACAATTTTTACAGTAAAACAAGATTTGATGGTTTGTTTTTATTTGATATGACAATGAAAAAGTTTTCTGCACACGATTGCTTTATTCTTAATATTGGAAGATGAAACTTGATCATTTACCATCATCAGAGAAATTATATGTCTCTGTCATCATGTTTAATATAAATACTTTTATTTTTTTATATTATCAATACAATTTACACGAAAAGATAAAAGAGCATTAATGCATGAGCATTGATTATCTTGTTTAAGTTGTGTGTGTTTTTTTTTTGTTTTTTTTTGTTTTTGCTTTTTTTGTAGAATCATAAAAAATTAATTTGAACTGTTCACTGTTTCCCCTTCGTCTTTCTACTCATAAAAATGCTAGTCTACACGCCCCCCAACCCCCAATAAATATAAACTGCTTTTGGCAAATAATATTTAAAGTTTTGACTGGTTTCGGATTCTCGCTTCTTTTTGGATCGTAATGACGAAATAATAAAGATTTCATTTCTCGCCAAAATATTTACAGAATTAGATGTCATAAAAATTGAAAAGGGAATTGGGAGCCATTAATTTTCTAGATGGAAACTTGTATATCAAATAATCAATAATGTGGCAGGAATATGGTTTCTTTTCTTGTTGCATTATTGTCAAACTTTAATGCACTAAGCAAATAAGAGAATGAGTTTTAAAAATTGTGTTACTATCCTTATTCTAAATAAAAGTTAGTAAATATACAATTATTGTAATTGTCGAAAAGTGCCTTTATAATATTGATGGTCAGATTCCCTATATTACTACTACTGCATTGACCCTTAGAGCATTGCGAGCCACTGATTTCTCAAACAGTTTTCAACAAAGTGATCTGAAGTTATTTTTTTCTTGTGTAGAATATATACAGTAGTTTAAGTGCAAAATGTCATAATTATAAGAGCCATATGTATTATATGTCTGTAATAAGTAACAAGAAATAATATTTCATGTCAACATTGTAGTTTGAATTAAAATTTGACATTAAAACTGCTCATGCTTAAAATTTACGTTTTTAATCCATTTCAAAATTGGATAACTTTACCTTTCCTGTACCCCCTTTAGCTCATGCTTCTTTTTATCTTCCAAGTGCCTAACTGGAAAAACCTTTGTATATAGTAAACAGACTGTTACTCCGCCTACCCATTGAATTTAGGTGTCAATCTTAATTACAATGTCTAAGCAAACAACCATACAAAGTTTGCAAAGAGACAACAACCCGACCATAGAGCAGACAACAGCCAAAGGCCACCAATGGGTCTTCAATGCAGCGAGAAACTCCCGCACCCGGAGGCGTCCTTCAGCTGGCCCCTAAACAAATATGTATACTATTTCAGTGATAATGGACGTCATACTAAACTCAAAATTATACACAAGAAACTAAAATTAAAAATGATACAAGACTAACAAAGGCCAGAAGCTCCTGACTTGGGACAGGCGCAAAAATGCGGCGGGGTTAAACATGTTTTTTGAGATCTCAACCCTCCCCCTATACCTCTAGCCAATGTAGAAAAAACAAACGCACAACAGTACGCACAGTAAAACTCAGTTTAAGAGAAGTCCGAGTCCGATGTCAGAATAGGAAACAAAAGAAAATAAACAAAATGACAATAATACATAAATAACAACAGACTGCTAGCAGTTACTGACATGCCAGCTCCAGACCTCAATTAAACTGATTGAAAGATTATGTCTTCATCATATGAATATCAGGCACATATCTAATCTTCAATGTATAAGACAGGTGAATATTTGATGTTGTTTTGTGACATTATTTCATGTACGTCCTCGACAGAATGACTCTCAGGGCAATAGGAACTTAAATATACAATGTCATTGATTTTTCATGAAATAGTGTATGCATTTAGAGTCTGCGATACAGGTCATGTAAAAAGTAAAATAACAAAAATACCGAACTCCAAGGGAAATTCAAAACGGAAAGTCCTTTATACAATGGCAAAATCAAAAGCTCAAACACGTCAAACGAATGGAAAACAACTGTCATATTCTTGACTTGGTACAGACATTTTCTTATGTAGAAAATGGTGGATTAAACCTGGTTTTATAGCTAGCTAAACCTCTCGCTTGTATGGCAGTCGCATGGAATTCCATTATATTGACAACAATGTGTGAGCAAAACAAACAGACATAATAGGTAAAAATGTCAAAAATTGGGATACAGCGGTCAACATTGTAATACAATCTTAATCACTATAAAAAATTACTAAAAATAATATTGCTATAATAATTTCTTGAAACTTCGAAACTTTATATGGCAATGCCTATGGAATTATCATTTTATTGATATAAAACTTAAAAATGACCAACGAACTCATTTTTAGTATTACTTGTTTAATCTTGTGTACAATATTGAAACACGAAGTCAAAAAAGGCCGTTAAACGTAAAAATATACGCATGGGGTCCTCACAAACTCTCTACATGGAAATCTTATTTGTCGACGTTTCATGATACGATCGCTCAATAAAATTGAAATAAAAATCCTGTGTCCACGCTGAAACTACATTTATACCCAGTGTGTTGCAGTAGTCTCAGGACCACGCATCGAGTAAGAGAGATGAATGATACGACGCGCTAAAATTATTTATAGGAACACAAATTTGTTTTCGTCGGTGTCCCATATTAATTTTATCAATAAAGAGGAAATTTTAATTTGGGGGATGCGGGGGGGGAGGGGGGGGGTATCGTTTCATCAAAGCTGAGGTACATATTTTTGTTCGTCCTGTACCTTTTACCAAATAATAAATAAAAAGATATTTTCTTTTTTCGATTATTACATATACAGTTCTCCGCGCGCTCTTATTGCTAGCCAATTTCATAAAATTGCCAATTTACGATCATGTTACCTTAATTAGATTGATGAGGTCAGCAAACTCAAAACTTGATACACTTATTGACGTCAAAATCAATTATACCGAGTCTTTGGTTTACATACTAAAATTCATTAAAAGGATAAGCATAACATATATATTATTGTCTTTTAGTAATAAAACCCTTCTTTCATATAATTTTTTAGAAACTATAATTGTTTTGTGTAATAAATATGTAAGCTTAGCATTTAACTATCAGATTTTACTAATCTATATATTTTTTTGTGTGTTCTAGGCATGTTACTAACAGGAACAACGTGATTTAGAGTTTAAAATGCCATCTTGCTACGCTAGGCCAACAACGAAAACCACAGACGAGAGTAATGCCATAATTTCACCAGGGAAAATGAACCCAAACGAAAACTTTATAAATGTGATGGACAGTAATGTAAACTATAGTAACGTCTTCAGTAACAGTACCAACTTCAATCTATCACAATTAAGTAACGTAGATAGTTTATATCGTAACGGTAGTTTTACGAATGGTACATTTTCCGGAGACAAATACGAAGACAGTTTTTTGTTCAGGGAGTTTGGAATGATCAGATTAGCAGTGCTTGGGATTGTGATTATGGTACTTATATTATCGACTTGTAAAATTGTGTTCAAAATGTTTTCTCGATCCTTACATAATAAACGAGATGATGATTGCTGAAAAAGTAATCAATTTCGTTTATACTCAACTGTCATGAAATATAAGTTCCTTCATAATATAAGTTCCTTAGGAATATAAGTTCCAAGTGGAAGAAATATTCTGTAACACTATTTCCACTAGAAACAAATATTACAGAATTTGTTCCTTACGGAATAAATGGTATAGAATATTTGTTCCGACAAGAACAGATATTATGGCATTGTTTAAAACAAAGTTTCCAGTGGAACTTCTGTTAGGTGGAACAAATATACGTTGACAACATCACTCTTCTTGTGCAAAATGAATTGATAGGACAAAGAATATGTATTAAGCAGACTATCTTTATCGTACCGGCATCGTTATTTACATGAACACAGCTGTACTGAACAAAGACAATTTTTTTGTTAATATTGTCTTTGACATTAGAAGTATAAATAAATATGCCTTTGTAACTCTATGGTATCATTTTGCATTATTTCTTCGCGAAGAACGTTTAACACGTTCGTGTTGGAAATGGTATTTCAGCTGCTGCTTTAAATTGATGACCGAATAGGTTGGTTCCCTCCGTAAAATATCCAGTATGCCTTCAATAACGGTCGGGTACCAGTCTAATGACCGAATGGATCGATTGAATGAGGAAAGTAACGTAACTGTTTTCTACGCAGGGAGAAGGTCACCGACTGTTTGTATCGAATAGAACTTTGTAGCTTGGAGCGTGTATGTCTCGCCATATCGGTGATATTCATTTCAACGGGTACCACTAGGGGAGAAGGATCTGCTTATCTTTCCAGAGAAGTTGAGGCGTCCACCATCGCACACTGATTTGGGTGGGGTTCGTGTTGCTCATTCTTAGTTTTCTTTGTAGTGTTTTGTGAACTTGTCTGTCTTTTCGTCGTCTTTTGTTTGCCGGGGCATTGTCAGTTTCTCCTGACTTTGAATGCCCCTTTGGTAGTTCCCCTCTCTTTTTAGATATTCAAATGTATTTATACATCTGTTTTTCGTGTCATTTAATATTCAGTGGAGGTAGCCATCTTTTATTCCAAATCATTTAATGTGCATATATCCGGAAGATTTCGTCCTGTCACAATACCAATTTGTCATAACTTTAACCAAATTGCATTGTGAACTGGTTAACTCTTAAAATATTATAAATATGTTAGTATAATTTTTATTACTCTGCACTAGAATCATAATAAATAAAGAGCTCAAATATTTTACCAGTTGATCACTTTGATTGAAGAGAAGAATTCAAACTGCAACGTAGTAATGAATGCAATAACAAAAATGTCCAACTCTGAAGTAAGTTACATTTAGGACAACAGTGTACACGCTTGAATGTCTCGTCTGCTTTATTTATCGTGATTGCACTTATGTTGAAAGTCTGTAATATTAAGGTATTACTATAAGTATCAAATAAACTTTTCATTATCAGGGTCCTTTTAAATGAGGCCAAAGTCAGATGAACCCTGCTGTACACTTTACAATCATACCACACACCACATATAGTTAGCCTATTGTTTAAAGCATCTGAGAAACAGACATAAATAGGCAAACTGAACATTGACCAATGGACCATAAAAATTAGGTCAAGGTCAGATGAACCCCACCAAACAGACATGTACACCTTACAATCATTTCATACACCAAAAATTGTTAACGTTTGCTTATAGAAACAGACCTAACGACGAAAACTTAACATTGGCCAATGGATCTTGAAAGTGAAGTCAAGGTCATGATACCTGTCTGGCATATATATATACATTTTAAAATCGCACACCTAATATAGATAACCTATTGTTTAATAGTATTTGAAAAACAGACTTAACCAGGAAAACTTACCATTAACCAATGAACCATGAAAATAAGGCAACGGTCAGATGAAACCTGCTAGTACATGACCTACTTTTGGTGGTAGCCTTTTATCTTTTAGAGGCATCCTTAAAGTTGCGAAAAAATCAGCCATAAAATATATGCACAACATTAAAGTGCTAAATAATAACAGTTAATCTGATCTAGCATGGAAAAAGAGGGGTTCTGAATGAGGTGAAACTGTAATGAGGCTGTAACTTACCAAATAATATCATTTTAAAATTTTGTGGTTCTTGATAATCAACAATTGCTGATGATACACATCAAATTAAAAAGTACATGTAGTTTTGATATCAAAGTCAAACCTTAGCTGACAAATGTTTACCTTATAATATTTAGGGGACGACCTTTGCTATTCTTGGGGAGGGAGGTTTCTTCCGGATTAAATATTCGTTTTCATTTGTTGCTAGTTTCCGTGGTTTGCCGCGCGAAAATCTATTTTCACTTCAGTAGAAGTTTGGTTACTGCATATTGTGTTGTCAAATATATTCATTGTAATCTTGTCTTGTGCAAAGTTATTTATTTTCAGTAAATATCAGGCCAAGTTATTCATTTTCAGAATCCTCCTGGCCCCCAAGACAATCAAATGGTCGTCCCCTTTTTATCATTCAGAAGCGAATGTCCAGTAAAACAATGAATATATATCATAATTGACCTATCAAAAATCTTCGTTGATTGATTGATTGTTGCTTGCTGAACTTCCAGTGGCAAATATTTCATGCATATTCAAAAGAAGAACAAATAATTAAAACAGAAGATACAATCTGCAAGGTAGGACAAATCAGTACAAGTTAATCCAAACCAATGAATTTTACATCTGTGTCATATATCAGGCCACTTTCACTATTAGTAATATCATAATGACATTTATATACGATAACAAATACAAAAGTTCAGAACAAATGTTTAAACAATGGTATTTTTCGATACAAGGTACCAGAAATATTAAATGTATTTTCTCTTTATCACACCATAACATAATGAAATCTTTGGTGCCAAAACATTTCGAATATAAACCAGTCATTTATACATGTAAAGATGATACCTATTTATCACGAGTAATTGGTTTCTTTTGGTCGTTAATGTCCAGCGGCAAATATTACATACACACTAATTTCGGTACCATCTCAACCGACACGCTGAGCCTGATTTTTTTTAACGCGCTTACTCACAGGAAGGTAGTTTACTCGGACACTTTATGCTGACTGCGAACCGCTCAGTCTTTGTCCACTTATTCCTAAACACCTGTGCATGGTATATCAAATATTTGATAGATATCTAAAGGCTTAAGAATAATATTTTAATGCAAGTCAATAGAGCATGAAATATAGGTCAGAGTAACCTTCTTTTTAATGAAGATTATAATACAATCATAATTTATTCTTACACAAAATTATATGATTGTAGGCCACATAGTATCATAAGGCCAGATACTAGATTAGCTAAGGACAGAACTCAATAAAGTTATACCATCTCAACAAAATCCCTACTTAAGTGGCATACTAGTATTACATTTTTCGCTTTGGAAATGATTTGAAAAAAAAAAAACAATATAAATGCAAACAAACAATACAATGTATAGGTATGGAAGATATTCTGAAAAATTCACTGGTCCACCAGAAAATGTGAATACGTAATGGGGACAGATGATACAACAAATTAACAGGTTAGTATCTTTGTCATTTGAAAGAACAGTGTACGCGCTTATATGTCTCGCCTGCTTTACTGCACATGATTGATTTAGTGTTGAAAGTCTGTAAGATAAAGGTTTTATTACAAGCATCACATAAACTTAATATTATTATTGATCCGTGTAAATGAGGCCTGTCAGATAAAACCTGTCGGTTGGGCTCATACAACTTAGTCAGTCCATACACCAGAAATAGTTCACCTATTACTTATAGACAAACCTAACTACGAAAACTTTACATTGACCAATTAACCATGAAAATGAGGTCAAGGACAGATAAAACCTACCAGTCGGACATGTACACCTTACAATCATTCCATACATCAAATAAAAATATGAGGTAGAGGTCAGGTGAACCCTGTCTGTCGGACATGTAGACCTTGCCAGGATGCCATATACCAAATGTAGTTTTCCTATTATTCATAATAAGTGTGACCACCTTGGTGGTCTAATAGTAGCGTGTTCGCCTCGAGTGCGGGAGGTCGTGGGTTCGAACCCCGGCCGGGTCAAACCAAAGGCTTTAAAATTGGTATTTGCTGCTTCTCCGCTAAGCACGCGGCATTAAGGAGTAAGAGCAAAGACCGGTTTATGATACTATGTGGCCTACAATCATATAGCTACAATGTATACTTCCGATAGAATAATAATACCCTTCTCACTTGTTTTTATTATAACCCCTGAAAGTTTGCCAAAATGTAACTACACTTTAGTTAGACATTGTGTAATAAGTACGTATCTCATGGTACATTGTACATGTGTAATGAGTACATATCTCATGGTTCTTGAAAATAACAATTGCTGATGATGCAAACACCGAATGGAATCACACCTAAACTGTTGACGCAGAGATGTAATTTAGATAGTATAATGTGATAAAAAAAAATAATTGGTAACGCTGTATTGTGGACTATCTAAGAGTGCTCAGACTTGGAAAAATTCGTAAGGGGTTCCGGGGAACCCTGTGTCTCGCCTGCGATTGCTGCTGTCAGTGTATACGTGTAATGTTGACTTAAAAAGTGAGTTCATTTATCAGTAAAATGCAGAATTTAAAAAAAAAATCAAACTTTTTCTTTACATGCTTTTTCTTTGTTTTAATTATTAGCTTCTGTCCAAGTTTCTTAAAAATCAATAAAGGTTTACAAATTTATCATGTAAAAAAAAATAATAATTTAAGACTGTCTATGGTGGCCGGTTAAGGCCATTTCGCCCTTCATATTCTATAGGGCGAAAACGCGAAATCGCGAAGTCGAAAACGCGAAAACGCGAAATCGGAAAGAAAAATATTTCGCGTATTCGCGTTTTCGCCCTATATAATATGAAGGGCGAAAACGCGAAAACGCGAAATGGCCTTAACCGGCCACCATAACTGTCTGTAAATGTTTATTGTAAAAAAAAACAGAATAGATAGATATAAGAAGATGTAGTATGAGTGCCAATGAGACAACTCTCCATCCAAGTCCAAATTTATAAAAGTAAACCATTATAGGTCACAGTACGGTCTTCAACACGGAGCCTTGGCTCACACCGAACAGTAAGCTATAAAGGGCCCGCAAAATTACTAGTGTAAAACCATTCAAACGGGAAAACCAACGGTCTAATCTATATAAAAAACGAGAAACGAGTCCATCTATATGAAAATTCTAAAAATAAAAAAAAAAAATATTTTAAAAGATTTGTCTCAGCCATCATCTCTTAATCATTTTAAAGCTTCTGCCAAAGTTTCATAAAACTCTATGAAGGTTTGACAAAGTTATTGATGTGTAACAAACTTTAACCCCAGACTGTATCTACTTGTTATTTGTAAATAAAACCATTTATAAGTAAAAGAAATCGTAAGGGTTCCGCGGAACCCAGTGTCTCGCCTGCTATTGCTGTTGTCTGTGTAAAAGTATGATATT